CTTACGAACCGGGAATGTCACGGTTGATAACTGGCGCCTTCTTGCCACGCGAGTTGCTTCTACTCTCTCGCCCAGTGACGTCCAAAGCTTCCAAGATACCCTTCACGTCTACGCCAAAAAGGCAGACGTCATTCAATTCAACCATACACAGATGCGCGAAAGTGGCCGACCAGTTGTCCTGATGATTGCAACTAATGAGGGGAAAGATGCAGCGAGCGCCACTACCGAACAAGCTGGTAACCTGCAGAACATCCTCCCTATATCTATTGGTTGCCGTGTCATGCTTACCGAGAATATCTGGACCGAACGAGGATTGGTAAACGGTACTATGGGTAATGTACGCGACATGGCCTGGGAAGCGGACGTTGAAGATCCCCGGAAGTCGCCTCCTACGGCATTATTGGTTGCGTTCGATAGCTATAATGGTCCATCCTTTCGGGAGGTTAACGGCGAAAAGCTCGTGCCTATATTCCGGTCCCGCCGAGACTTCGTTCACGGTTCTGTCGCCTGCCTGCGTACCCAGTTTCCATTGGTTCTAGCGTATGCTATCACCATCCACAAGAGCCAGGGAATGACACTTGAAAAGGCAGTGTTAAACATCGCTGATAAGCGGGACTTTGCGCCGGGATTAACTTATGTAGCTGTCTCGCGTGTTAAGTCGCTGAAAGGGGTGTTATTCGAAGAATCGTTTGATCTACCGCGATTGCGCATGCAGGAAACTGCTACAACTCAAGCCAGGAACAATGATGTCGCTCGGCGGGCATTCTATCACGTCGCGTCCTCCGTACATACTACATACCGTCTACTCCTTGCGCAGCATGGCTAATGTGTCTATACAGGATCCTCAGCAATTCGCGGTCGGTTTCATGCCACCGCCTCTACGACGTGTTTAACTTCCTGTCCGATCATCCTCTCCATCTCGGAGGTCGTCCCTGCTACTTGCGAGTGAGATCGATATACCTACAACAGGGTCTAACCCGTCCGGCACTCAAGGTTCCTGAATGGAGTCTGCGTAGATAGATCAAAATCAACTAGTTATAGTATATCATCTGCTGTTTATTTCATTATAAGTGGTTTAGCTACCGATGAAACCAGTACTAATAAGCGCGTGTGCTTGACTCTGTTCGCCCAAGGGCAATGATGATACAAGATACACAGATGAATGAATCAAGCACACGGTCAGATCAAAAGTCGCTGTGATTGGCCGCAAAGGTTCAGGACTTCATCAGCAAACTGTGACTGGGTAATTATGCTGTTAAAACTTGGGAGGTTCTGCTCCCTACGCTGCGCACCCCTTGGGTCCATTTATGACCCTCGGCCGTATTTTAGTAATGTATCGATTGATTTATATTGATGCATTTTGTGGTGGAGTGAGAAACAGGGGTTTGACCGGATTACTCTGACCCCACACAGTATTAGCAAAAGGGTTAACTAACTTAGTTATCTTCAACTGTTTTGCTAGCTAGATCTCCTTTTGAGGAGAAAATGGGAATCGTCAATACCAACTTGCGTTATGACTCTAAAGCAACTGAGCCAAAGCAGCGAACGTGCTTAATCATCACCCCCGCGAAATGCGACAGTTATGCTTTAGGAAAATCGAAATATCCTGTAATATGAGTTGGTGTTCACCCGGTAGGAATCGCGAGATCACTTAAGGAGCTGTGTTAAGGAGCTGTGTTAGGATAGCAGAGAGAAGAGTATATCTCGCGCGCAGAGGCACTGGGAGATTTCTTCCTTCTCTCTCTTCAGTTTAGATTAATGGAACTTGGTAATTGCAGACCTTGCGCATCCAAACCGTTTCACAAGGGTGGAAACCCCAGTATCAAGACAACCATGAACAGCCAGTGCCAGCGATCGGGGAGTTCACAAAATACTGGTTTCATCGAATAGGCAACGAGACCTTGGAGGTATAGCACTTGACTATGATGCAGTGACTCGATGGCTGCACACTTTATATCGTGTTGTCATCCTGTTCAACAACACCAAGTTCATGATTTTAGTGGAGAATAATGGGCAATTTTGGGAATGAAGAATCGCTAGCCCTATAACGTTGTAACTCACACGTCAATGTAGGTTCGGACGAACAACAGGAGAAAGCGCTTCAAAATGCTGCGAGATCCAGGCATCTGTAACCACCTCACGAATCTCAAAGCTTCGATCGTTCACAATCCCGTTGTTCGTGCCCATATACACCTAGTGCCAACTTCTCCACTCTCTTCCTTGCGTTCTCCGCACCCTCTCCAATAACAATCTCCTCCGTCCTAAAGTCTGGGTTGAATGTTTGTATATTGAGAGGATTCTCTAAATGTGCCCTCCTCCACATTGCATTATAGACATCCCCATCTTGCCTGCCTAGCGCGCTGTCAAGCAGATAATCTGGGATGGACCATGCATCGACCAGTTTCACAGCATGCGGCCTGATTTTCTTCATCAGCTCGAGGATGGTGGGCGTCAATGCCTGGAGCTGCTGCACTGAAAGACCACCCGACAACAGGAACTCAGTGGTCCGGCTATCGATGGTCGTCAGAGAGAAGAGCCTAAACAGATCCTGCAAGACCGGGATCGCGGTCCCCTCAACCGCAGGAGTGATGTTACCCTTGAAAACTGCTTCGTAGAAGTTCTCCACCAAGATGGCTTCCGAGTGCACGATTGCAAGGCGATGCAATTCGACCATAAGATCTGTCCACGAATGCTTCTGGACAATGCGTCGCTCGTATAGCTTGTACGACAAATATGAGACACGGTCCTTGAAGGCACGGACGATGTCTTCCTCCTTGTCGTAGATGTCGTAGTTAGCTACAGAGCTGCGATCCTTCAAATAAGCAATGAATTGACTATCCATTGGCTCTGAGCTCTTTCCACTAACTGCTGAGGTCATGCGCTTCAGGAGATATGCGGCAGTCTGCTGAGAGATCATCCAACTGTCACCTTCCACAGTTGGACTGTCGAGATTATCGGTATTGAGCGGGATCATGCCACTTGCGCCACTGAAGCCATGACCGCCAAGTGCTCGTCGACAGATCTCACTTCCGTCGGCCGTGATAATTGTGCACGCTGCCTTAAGACCGGAAGAAGCTGCATGCAGCTCGGCAAGACGAGACAGGTCGCCATTCTTCTCGATGTCGGCACGGGTCTCCCAATATAGGCTGGACATCGCCTCGCCAGTGTAGTGCAAAGCATATGTCGCAGCTACGAGAGGCAGAATTCTGATTTGCACAGAAGGATAGTCCAGCACGGCTCGCTCCGGTTTATCTGGTTCATCTCGATCCACAAACTGATGTCGAATAGATAAGTATCGAACAGCGATCGTAGTCGCTCTCGCAAGTGTCATTCGTGCATTCATGATAATGCTTGCACGGACAAAAGTCATGCTTCCATAGACGATGGCAGGGTTTGCAGGTTGGATATAAGTGCCATCGATGGTGACGCGTGTGTACTTGGAGAGCAAAGCCTTGTGAGGGATCTTGAAGTTCTTGAAGAGCATGTAGCCGTTGTCCATGCCAGCGTAGCCGACTTTAGCGCCAATGTCGCCAATGACGATACCCTCGAGAGGCTTGTTCGTCTTCATATCTCTGATTTGAGCGACGAATTGATGTGGACCATAGGACTTATATCTTCCGTTTCTATCAGGTAATAGAAGCTGGGCAACAATAATGGCATGGTTTGCGGTTCGTCCAAGGGACCCATTCCACCATTTTGCCGCAGTCAGCGTTGGGCTGTGTATCGTGAAGTCCTTAGTCTCTGAATTGTATTTCGCAATGGTCTCGATTCCCCGGACATTGCTACCGTGACCTAGCTCTGTTTGCCCGTAGCAACCAATTATTTCCCAGCTTTGCGTGCGTGGCCACCATTCATTGTATTGCTCTTCGTCCGCCTGCTCGCGGATCGAGGTCATAAACATGACAGTATGAATTGCATATGGCGACACTTCGCCCACCAGACGCGAAGCCATCCCATAGTCCTCGGAGTCCCAATTGTGCTCTAGAGCGAGACGGCGCAACTCCTTAGAACGAGCTAGTGACAGATGATAACGGTCGGGTCGGGCAAGATTGAGCTGATTCCGTTTCGAAAAGTACGGCCGGTTCTCGATGATCTTGAGAATCCTCTCCTGTCTTTCAAGGAAGCCGTCGCGATGCAACAGATGCCGCGCGAGCTTATCGACATTGATGTTGGATCTGCTGCGTTCTTTGGCGAGGATACCTGGTCCTTGCGGTTCTGCGGGTCGGAGCTCATCCGAGAAGTCACCCATGTTTCCTCGATGAGTATGAATAGCAGTGTAGAATAAATTAAACGTATCTTGGCCGTGCAATGGCAACGAAATACTTTACTACTTTATTCGCGCATCATATCGGAGGCTCTCTTCCGAAGGGGTAAGTACCGAGGTCACTGTCAAGACTTTTTCATTGCCGAGCACATCGCTTGCTATCGACTTGCCTAGCCATCGCCCGGTCTAGGCTACGAGGTCGGCGATCACAGCCCCGGGTATCCGTCTTTCCTCTTTACAGGGAAGCAGTTGAACGCACCCTCGGCTCCACTTGCCACACCCACAGAACAAGGCACCCACAGTTAAATGTTTTCCAAATTGGTGCCTGACAATTTGCATCACGTGAATCATAGTGACCTCGCACATCGAGCAATTTAGTGGAGCAGGTTATAATGGATCTTAGGGATGAATATAAGTGTTCTCATTCGGTTATGCAGGGATCAAAGTGTAATAGATGTTGTTGGTGTCTTTGTCACGGGAAGATGAAGGGCAGCGTAGCGAGAAAAAGCCTTTAGGCGTGCCTGATACAGTTGTAAATAGATAGGGAAAGACTGAGTCGTCCCAAATAGGCTTAGCCTAGGGGTAACGGGCAGAAGAAGGAATGTTAGGTGGCAGTATAAAACAACAGGGGCATCTTGCGACACCTCAGTCCTCATTTGCTCATGGGATTCATTTTCACGGCGGGAAAACCTCGGACGCGATCTGTGCAATGTATCGTTCAACAACTCCCATCTCAGGTCACAGAATGATACTTTGCAAACATGTCACTGGAGGTATAGCCAGATTCAATATCCCTCAAACAAATCAATCCACTTGTTGCCGACATTATGTATAAAGTCCTTTCCAGGCGAGCTCAGTCCATTTTCGCTTTGATTTGGACATACGATACAAACAACTTCAGTTTCGCTTCGCTCCACTTTATCTTCATAAAACCATGCTACAGAGGTTAGTAGGTGCTTATAAGATGAAGGCCTAGCAATATACCTGTTTGAGATCGTTCGGCGTCGATGTGATCGTCATAGACAAGAATTTCACGGCAATTTCTGACCACCGGCCCGGTGTAGTCAAACCCAGCTCACTGCCCTCCTTTCTGTCCTTGTCCATGAGTATCATCATGATACGACCTAAGGATGCCGCATTCTTTTGTCCACAGTCGTCATCAGTTTCGCAATTCTCAAGGTTTGCTGCTTGCGAGTTAGCATTGAAATGTCAATCATGATGTGTTAACCATACCTATTTTGACTGATCCCTCAGCATTTATCAGGATATTGGATAGTGTTAATGCATTATGAGCCAGGTTCTCCGACGTTAGGAAGCAAATACCATTGAGGACTTGTTACTGTCAGTTGCAGGTGAAAGTCGCTACTGGAAAGATTCTTACCTGCTTGACGATGGCTACTAGTTGCTGCTCCTCGGGATATCGTGGGCAACGACAAACATGTATAAGAGATATACACATGGGTTCTGAGATAAGATAAAAGGCATCTTGGCACGCAAATATCTCGTAAGTTCTTATCAGATTCTCGTGGTGGAATTGACGAATGGTGAGAATCCTCTTCTCAATATCTTCCCCCGAGAGGCTTCTAACAATGAACTCTTTCTCCCCAGCAGGTAATTTGACAGCAATTGCAACCTTACCGGCTAACTCACGAGGCCACTTCTTTTCATACTTGTCCCATGGAGAACCAGGTACCACGGGAACTAGGATGTTGCCAAAAAGATTCTTAGCCAGAAGACGAGGAGGCGCTTTATTAGGCTGGCTGGTCTCGTCAGAACTCAAGCGATTCTTCTTTGTGGTTTCCTTGGTTGGATATGGCTGAGTCTGCTTCAGGCTGTTGTGGTGGCGAGGCCTTTGATCGTTGTCGCTACAATCATCAACGAAAAGTGTGTAGCGGTTCAATCTCTCAATCTCGGAAGCCATGTCTAGCGCGTGCTGAGTTTCAAAAGGTTTGCCTGTTGCGTGAGGGCTATTTATTAGAAGAAATTTTCGTTTTCGGTAGGGTCAAGGACGGTGTCCGAATGGGACGCCGAAAGGATGGACCGAATATGATATATTGCGTTCTTGCGGAGCCCAAAAAGGCTCCAGTTACCGTAATCTAGGTCAGCCACTCTCACCTTCGAAAGGCTCTAGTTGAGCCCTCCATTGCAGGGCCCGATGCAGCCGGAGAGAAATCACCCGTAAGAGAAGGCCTCTAGCTTCAGTCTTTACTAGATTAACAATCGGTGTGTCTGCGGACTTTACTTCACATGAAGGCTTCTCTGCCCCGAAATTAATGGCAGACATGTTGAATAAGATGTCAGAGATCAGGATATCTCTGTTTTTCGGTGTCCTCCGGTTTCCTACCCGCGACCCCGTATTCCCAACCATGACAGCGCATCATGTCGCGAGATGCCTCTGTCTATTTCCATTTTTATGCCCATTACCCCTAGGCTAAGCCTATTTTGGACTGTTCAGACCTTTCCTCTGTATTTACACATCTTTAACTGTTTAACCTCCCTCCCTGCGTGTCGAACTTCCCTGTGTGCCGAGCGAATGCGAGATACTTCCTCTTCAAAGCGATGTAAAATCCGCAAACGCAATTGTAATTTAATGAATTTATATAAATCGTGCTTTCTTGCTACTACTTAATATCTACACCAAGCGTCTCCTGGAAATTCGCCTGGCATGGCCGTTGGTCGCCTGTTTTCTGCGGAGTGCAGCTTCATGGTGCAATAGAGTTTCCCCACCACAGCAACAACATCGATCTCTTGTCGTTCCTGAAACTTATAAAAGCGCTCAATTCGAGCTCTACAGTGCTACCGAGGTGCTTGAAAGTCATTATTAGCGTTGTGTCCGGCTGCACATCAAAGTTCGCCACGCAGGGAGGTACTTCCGATCATGTTTAGGACACGAATCAGGTTAGCGCAAAACGTCAAGTATCTGACATAAGTAATAAATACTTTGCATTCTAGCCTAGTGTATCCCGCGCCACTTCGCCAAGTCTGTGGGGGTCAAGTCTCTCTAACTGTCAGAAATCTCGGAAGCAGGGGATATTACTTATCACTCTATTAGTCTGTTTCCTATCGTCTGTGGCTGATATATCTACGTATGTGGCGCTATCTTGACTTTGCTTTTCGCTCATATTACGTCGTTTTGAGACGAATCATGTTAAGTGGGTGCATTCTGAACGTGGGATCATTTGCAATACACTTTGTTGCATATAGGTAGTGCAGTTAGTCAGCGCGGGTCCGTGTAAGTTTTACGTTGGAAAAATACCGCGACTCGGAACTTGCGGCGCCAAGGGATCATACCGGATCGATAGACTTTGCATCTATTCGGGTCGATCCAACATCAAGGACCGCAGAAATCTGCGGTGTTTGATTTTTCGAGCGTCCCGAAAATATTTCAGCAGATTATTAAGATATGACTAAGCATCCTGACTACCTTGGCATTCCTGTTCTAACGTCGAGCCTCGCTCCTCATCATCCCAGAGGCACCACATCGCCCTTCACGCTGCCGCGGCGTATTAGCGAGTTGCCGTATCTGCATCCATTATCTAGCTGAGACCATGGTGGTGCCGGCGTTGGGAGCTTGCCTCCCTGCTGGGCCCGCCCGGGGAGGGATGGTGGTGCCCGAAAGGGCTCCTCGATAAGAGCGTGGACGGCTCCTCTTCGTGCTTGGTCGGTTACACTTCGCGCTTTTTCAGTCCTCTTCGTGCATTGTCGGTTCCTCTTCCCACATTGTCGGCCTCAGTCCGTTTTACTTCTTCTCAATCAAATCTCGTACTGTCAGGATGGCTCCTCCAAGGAGGCGAAGGTTCGCTCAACCTGCCGATGACCTAGAGGCAAAGAAGGCCAGAGAAGAGAAGGCCCTTCAGGACTGTGCCGGATTGGATCTGGATCATCGCGGACTTGCACACGATTTTGGCTGGCTGCGTCCACGTCTTCTAGAAGGGCCCCACAGTGTTGTGTCTCGGGAACAGAATGAGGGGCCACTTTTGGCATCCTGCTACTGGACATAGGCATATAAGTACAGCCGACTCAAACGACCTGTTCTCAATTCCTAGCTCACTTCGTTAAATATGGACAGCGAAGACGCAACCCTTTTTCTTACTACGGCTTTGAATAAGTTCAAATCGTGCCAGAATGCTGTTCCAGATATGGGCAAAAGCGACCGAGGAAAATTGCTTGACGCCCTTGTCGCAATGTCTACACACGTAGTCTTATCTCTAAGAAGCCACGACTTACTGCCGGTCCTAGATAGCCTTAAGTCGAACCGCCGTCGTGGGCAAATCCTAGTTGAGATGAACGAAGCTAAGCGAATGCGGGTGCTTCAGCGCGTTTCAGAGCGAACCCAATTGCGATGGGTACAGCGTATCGACGCCTTTCAGGAAAACGAAAAAGAGAACTGGGATTACGAGCCACCTAGGAAATGGGTGATTGAACCATCATTGTGATAAGCTAGCCAAACGAATCCCACCACCGTCGATACGTGCTGGAGTTGAAGGCTCTGTCAACCCAATGGCGCCTTTAATATCTCGCAGCTCGTTCAGTGCCTCAAGAAGCCTTCCTTCCAAGCCCGGAATCGGGTAGTTAATTAATGTCCCACCATGGCCTGCTGAGCAGGAGCATATCGGTTTCCATGAGGCTTCGCAGAGTCTACAAGGGCCCGTACCTCCTTGAGCTCTTCCTCCGACAACACTACGTCTCTCGACGCCCAGTTCTCTTCCAGTCTGGAGGCTTTAGTCGTACCAGGAATCGCGATCATGCCTTGAGCGGCAACCCACGCGAGGGCAACCTGGGGTGTAGAGCAGCGCTTCTTTACAGCAAGCTTCTTCAGTTCCTCAACAATTGCCTTATTTCTGTAGAAGTTCTCGCCTTGGAATTTAGGTACTGAAAGTAATGTTAGTTGCCAAAAATAACAAAGGCGCCTGTCGACTTGGGAACATGAGGCATGGATAGATTTGGGTCGGCCATTCAAGACAAGCTTACCTGATCTGCGGAAATCATCCGGAGCAAAGTCGTCTGGTGTCTTGTACCGGAAGTCATCGACGAGCCATCCATGCCCTAGAGGGCTGTAGGCAACATAAGCCACACCCAGCTCTCGAGCCGTATCAATCAATCCGTCTGTCTCGTGAAGAGTCTCAAAGGCCGAGTACTCCGCTTGGACAGCATCAATCTTAGCGACTGTGATTTAACTTAGCCCGAGGTACGTATCCGACATAATCACGATAGCCTTACTCGAGTTCGCCCGGCGCAAGGTAGCTGCTGAGCACTCCGAAAGACCAATGTACTTGGTCTGTCCAGCCTTTCGGATCTCGTCTAAAGCTGGAATAGACTCTTCAAGCGGGGTGTCTACACGCGACCGACTTAGCAAATAGATACTTGTTGAGCGTTCGCACTGAACATACTGGGATCAATGCGGTGAAGATAGTAGAGGTCCGGGGCGAAACCGAGCCTTTTGATCGTGCCCTCAATATATTCTTTGATGTGAGCGGCAGAGTTGGTCACCTTGCCGGTACCGAAGACATCGAAGCCGCATTTTGACGCAACTACCAACATAAGATGTGAGCGTTTTTCTTCAACACATTTGGAAACTTGTTCTACTCACTAAAAATTTTGTCGCGGACATTGTGTTTCCGGATAAAATCTCCTAGAAGCTTCTCATTGACACCTGCTTGATATGCCACCTCGTTTGGATACGTCAGAAACTTCTAGCATTGAATCCACTGAACCCATGATTTTCAGACTCACTGCCGTATCCCAAAACGTGCAACCTAGCGCAATGGCTTTGAGCAGCACAGGTTCGGCTTGTTCCAAAGTAAGGTTGCTTCCCAGGCCGAAGCTGATACCCATGGCACCGAAGCCTGGTGAGGGAACCTGAATATTGTCGAAGGGAAGTACATGCACCATTTTGTCTTCAAGAATCGGAGTTAGTGATGTGCTTTTGATTGTGTATTACCTGGCACTGAAAAATGACGGTTCTTCTTTAGTCGGAGGGCTTCACTCTTATAGCTGCTCTCGCGTTCTGCTGGTAATTATTTGCGAAACCAGTGGGGTGAGGGTATGACGTTTGTGCCTTACGTATCTCCCATTGCAATCCTCCGACGCTTAGACGGCGCCGGTGTGTGGGACCCGCCGATGGGCAAGCCACTTGGTCCTCTGCCTCCAAGAGTCGTAAATACGTGAAGAACCCCCGGGTTAGTCACTTAAATCCGCCATCTCCCAACTGTCTACATACGCTTGTTCCACTGGTTTCAGGACGGTTGAGCCAATGCTGGTGAGGTTGGCGGGTTGACCAACTTTTAAATTCATAACTAACCCCGCCTCCAAGCAGGCCATCTCGGCGCACGGAGGTAAGCACTGATAAATCCGACAGGCAATGAACAACCTGAACCTGTTGAACGCGCCTTACACGTTGAAAGGGAGCCCAGATTGGCCACAGTGGAAACTGGAGTGTTTGATACACCACGTTCGGACCGGTTTCTTCAAATCGGCCCAGTCCTTAGGCTGGCACGTCCATCAGGGATTAGGCTAAGGGCCTAAGGCTGCTGATGGCCTGATGCTGCCGAGCAGCTTATGGACTTCTGGTGTGACGTTGTATTCCCTACCTCATTGCTCTTCCTAACGTAAGGATTGTTAGTTAACACCGCAATAACTAACGTATTCCACAAGCGAGCGGCGCATACAAGCGAGCGGCGCACCCCCTTTTACTAACAAATTCGGTTTCAATATCTCAACAACCACTGAATAATATAACCTGAAAACTTGGAATCATACTTTTCTAGTCATTCCTAGCTTACTATTGAATTTTCAGAGCTCTGGCACGAACATTTATAAAGATATAGAGGTTTGGCCCATAAATCTTGTCAAGAAGTAGGTATCTCGATATCTATACAAGCTAGTGCTCTGATATTTTAATATGAAGCTAGGAATGACTAGGAAAGCATAATTCCAAGTTTTCAGGTTATATTATTCAGTGGTTGTTGAGATATTGAAACCGAATTTGTTAGTAAAAGGGGGTGCGCCGCTCGCTTGTATGCGCCGCTCGCTTGTGGAATACGTTAACGCAAATTGGTATTAACGATTCCTATTGTCTAGGAAAAGAGACCCAGCTAGTAGCCAGATGAAGATAACTTAAATACATAAGAGAAGACTGAAGAGTCCTGATTAGGCCTAGCCCAGGGGTAGGGGGCAGTGAAAGGAATGTTAGGTGGCAGTAGAAACCAACAGGGGCATCTTGCGACACACCCACCACGCTGGATCCCTGCTTCAGGTCCCAAATCAGACAAAACTTTGGGGGGATCTGATTTTGGACTTTCAGCTCTCAGTTTGGGGCTTTTAGACATTCGCAACTGCTATGCCTCGATGCTATCAAACGCTATGGCTCTGCTACAGAGACTGCCTCTACCTTTTCATATAATAACTGCTGTCAACGCCTGTCGCTCGACAAATCTTTTCGCCGTGCCCCGTCTCTGTTCTCCTCTTTGGTTTGGCCCTCCCTATTTCGGTATAACGTTGATCTACAGTCCCGACGAGCCATGCCTCTTACGAGGTCACCGCAACCGTGTGAAAGCAAAGGTGAGCCTCACGACCAGTCCCCTTCATCCAAGATATCTTCTCCAGCAGCACTCTTGTCCACTAGCTCCTGTGCCGTCCATGGCTTGTACATGTACCCCGGAGGAATGTTGGTGTTTTCGAAACGGGCACCATTCAGAATCTCGCCGAGGCACTTGCCAAAGTTCTCGTACGCATAGCCCTCTGCGTCGTGCATGAAGAGCCATTTCCCCCTAAACGTTGGTCAATCTATGTGTAGACGTCGCGATGTAGGTTCCTGGTCAGTACGTACATGGTGCGCAGTACCGCCGCTGGGTTTCGATGGATCTCGTCCCAGTTTCCCTGATGCCAGGTGTGACGCGCCTTGAATCCCATCTTTTGGGCACACGCAACACGCTCGAAACTTAACATTCCCATCATCAGTAACTATCGTGGGAAGCGGCCTGTTGCCGCCGAATAAAGATGATCTTGGATGGAGACTCACCGCAGCCTGTTATGTACCCGGACTCCCAAAGAAATTCCCTCTTTTCCGGCAAGCTGCAAACATGCTGCCAACGAGTACGCATCCTCCATAGCCATCACCGCTCCGCTCCCCGATGATGGTAAGAAGGGATGGCACGAGTCCCCGGCCTGAATCACACGGCCTCGGGGAGAGTGCCATACCGGCTGTGGATCGCGCCACATGAGCCTCCAGTCGATACACTCGTCATTCGTGGTCGATCTGATCAGCGCGCGGATGTGTTCTGTCCAACCAAGTTCAGGGGCCACGAATTTCAGCGCATTGGAGGCCCTGGTCGTAGCAGACCACGACTCCCGCGAGGTATTGTCAGTGTCTTTGTGGGTTAGCAACCAGCACATGGTATTTCTCGCGTCATTTCTTCCCATGACGATGTGCACATCAGGCCCGATAAAGATACTAACGTACTCCGGCTTGTCTCCCCAGAAGGCCCTGACGGCAGGATTTGCTAGCGCATCCTGGAGATTAAAGGTGGCTCGGTATAAGGCATACCCACTACTAATAGGCTGTGTCTTGCGGCCGGAGATCAGAGTATGTGATTGGGATCCAACTCCATCAGCGGCGACAATAATGTCTGCACTAAGCACCGACCCATCCGAAAGCTTTATGAAACCTCTTTCCGCGTCTTCGGAGTATTCGACGACCTGCTGGGAAAACGTAATAGGTATTCCCAGTTCTTTCGCATATTCAAACAGACACTATCCGGGATTAGCCCGAATAGAAAGTAGGTCTCCAAGAAGCGGACATACGTCATGCATGTGGGCTCGACTGAGCATGAACCCGAGGAGTCTGCCGTTGACTTCTAAACCGGGCATGTCGTAAATCCACGAGCCGTCATATTTATAGAAATGGATCTCCGGTCTCAGCGCTTGAGAAAGCAGCCGATCATAAAACCCGGGCCAGTTCAACAGACTCCGGAAGGCGGGACCACTGATACCGAAGATATCCCCTTTCCGCAGACCATCGTTAGCAACTTGGCTTATGCAGATCAGAAGGTATCATACCAAGGCCGTCGAAATTGTCTCGTCGTTCAATCACGCGCACTTTGTGGCCCTTCCTGTACGACTCGATCGCCAAAGTGAGCCCCGCAATCCCGCCACCAACGATCAGCATCTCGATCCCGCTAGGGGGAAAGATTCTCATATCTTTCGCCGACATTTTGAGTGGTTTCGTCAGTTGAACGGCGGTATGGGCTGGTAAGAAGGACTTCGAAAGCGCCGCGCGTTAAGCTGAGCAGGCGTTTCTTATATAAAGCCTACCGGAGCTAAGCTCCATCGTCAACTGCCCGAGCTACCTACACGTTCCAGAGATCTGGGGTAATGCAGAGGAAGCGGGGTGCTCGCCGGGCCGCAAACGTTCCGGTGGTTGGTCAGAGTCCGTAATCGCCCATCTTCATTCCGTTGACAGTATGTGGTCAAATGTCCAAGCCCCAATCATTTCGACATTTCCCACCCATCCCACGTGATGTGCCTACCTGCCACGCACTCCCTCAACTCAATAATGACTGGTTTCAAGCACAAGATGCTTCGGTACCTTAAGAGGCTGCAGGTTCGTCCCTGTGGCAGTGTCACGTGATCCACGGACACACCTGCATCCAGGCTGGCTAATCGAGGCGAGGCGTCGCGAGGCAGTCGGTATATCTTCGGATAATTAATAAGCGGGTTGGAAAGGTCTCGCTAGACCCATTTGGTCCTATTCTACCAATCTTTCATCATCTCAGTCCGTATCTTCTGGATGTGACCCAGATTCTATGGGATTTGGTGAGCTCATTAAACATTCCAGCTGGAGTCATGAATATTGAGGAGGTTTTGGTCAAATCCAAAGTCAATATATGTATAATATCAAGATTACTCTCAACGTATAGAATCGATATCAATATGTCGTCTTTACAGTCGTCTCTACCATCGTTTTCCTCCTCTTTTTCTGAGTATGCTCCTGACCCCGGCGGAATAGGAGATTTCACGCCTGATCCAGAGTTTCTCCGTGAATACGGTCTCTCCCTCGTGAAAGAGTATCATCGCTTATCTAGCCCGCGAAAGCGAAGCGTTGTATGGGACTGGGGATTCGTCGCTCGCAGAGTAGACGAGGAGGAAGATATTCCATATTGGGTCTGCTATATCTGTTGGCGAAGGGCTCGATCCAACCTCGATTTAAAGCTCTATAGGGTCGGCGCGACGTCGTCTGCACGAGACCATCTTATAAGAGATCACTCTTTCTTGAGCCGTGGATCACAGGTAATCCCTCCTGGATCTCGTGAATCGTGGGCTCTCCATCACCATTCTCTGCCTCTCCGGAATGGGCTCTTGAATGTCAATGCGGCGTATTTAAAATGGGTGATCCTCGACGGTATACCATTTCGCCAGGCCTCTTCTGTGGCACACAACGGATTGATGGAATCTTTGAGCGGTGGAGATCCACAGCTCAGAGTAAAGAACCACCAATCCGTATACAATAGGGTGGCCAAGGTATACGAAGAATGCCTTGTTCTTGTGTCCCATACACTTTCGCGTGCATCCAGCAAGATTTCGTTGTCGTATGACATCTGGACGTCTGCGACCGATATACCCTTCTTTGGTATCGAGGCCCATTTCATCTCCGGCGGTGAAACACCACGCCAACGGAATACCCTCCTCACTGTGGAAGAGGTTCAAGGAGCTCATACAGGGCGAAATCTATCACGGATCATGAAAAACACCGTACAGGCGTATAAGATCAAGGAAAGGATCGCTTACTTGATGTCTGATAACGCAGATAATAACACCACGGCGGTAGAAGAGCTTGGAAATATTACTAATATCCCGGTCTCTGGAAAACGGTTACGATGCGCCTATCATATCGTTAATTTGATATGCAAACAGCTATCTACCGACCATTTGGCTGGCACGGACAACGACGAGTCAGATGGCCTTCAATGTACGCAGGACAGTGGCATTCCTGGCCATCCAGGACAGAATCTTCGAAGTCCTACGCTTCCAACGAATGTCGATGTGGTCTCCGTTGAACGCCTCAAGTCTATCATTACCCATATCAAAAGTAGCTCGAAACGTGAGCAAGAGTTCTTGACGATCCAAACCACTATTTTAGAGGGTATGGTCGATCAATCTCAGCGACGTCGCGATCAGCCTCTCCGTATTATCCGTGAAAACCAGACACGGTGGAATACAAGATACGACTCGATTAGTCGTGCTCTCCGTTTACGCGCTACAATTGATCAGTACTGCGCAAGACACGCCTCTCTCCAGGGGCTTACAGGGGCTGATTGGGCTGTTCTAGAAGAGCTCCAAGCGATTTACCACCCCTTCCTTATTCGCTCCAAAATCCTAGAAAGTAACGCTGAGGATGGTGCTGAAGGAGCTCTTTTCGAATCTTACCTCGTTATCCACTTGATCGTGAAAGATTTAGTCTCTTTGATCGCGGAGATACCGAGGCGACCGGTTCTCCAGGAGCTCGCATCGCCTCTACAGAGAGCCCTCTCTAAGGCGATGAAATACCAACTTAAAATGAGGGACCCGCAGACTCCTGCGTATATGCTCGCGGTATTGCTTCATCCACGATATAAGAAAAGGTTCTTCGATCTCAAGGAACCGAAAAACCCTAGCACGGCTCAAGTCATTACTAAATTACGTGAGTCTGTCGCCACGTTACGGCAAGATATATCCGTCCCAGAGAGCTCTTCGTCAACGGATCATACCGTGCGGAGCGCCTACCAGGACTTCTTAGGTTCTTGGGGGCCTGGATTTGAACCACAGGAAATCTCCTCCGTGGATGAGGTTTCTGAATATCTCAACGAGCCTCAGGAGAAGATGAAGGCCCCTATGGAATGGTGGATTGCTAATCGTACGCGATTTCCAGCTCTCTATAGGATCGCTATGGACCTTTTTGCCACTCCAGCATCCGCCGCGGATATGGAGCGGATATGGTCCTCCTGTGGGCGACTCCTGGACACAGAGAGAGCCCGTATGAACGCGAAGACGTTGAGGAAGTTGGTGTGTCTACAGCATTGGTTTAGAAATGGTATTATTAGTGATCTTGATCTCGAGAAGATCGTCTTCTCACAAGCGAATCTAGCGGTGGATAATGACGACGACGAGGAGGAGGAGTCTAGCTAGGAGAATATAGTATGCGATCTTCACCACCACCGTCTTCACCATCCTCCTCACCGTGATATCGACCTCTGTATGGCATACAGGATTACGGAATTTCATCTTTTGGTACGCTCAACCATGGTTCCAGCAGGCGTCGCGAGGCGGTTTAGTATGCAATCGAGGCGAGGCGAGGCGAGGCGCTTAGTCATCCCTCGCGACGCCTCGCGACGCCTCGATTAGCCAGCCTGCCTGTATCTCCATATCTTCTAGGGCTGGACACGAATAAGGATTTTGGCTATTCGTATTCGACTTTTCCTCTTGAACGATTATTCGTATTCGACTAAGTTTTGAGACGTTTTATTCGTATTATTCGCGAATATTCGTAAATAATGCCAAGACTTATTCGGCAAAAGCCGAGCCAATGAATGAATGCCCAACAGTCGCGACTTTTGTTTACCCGAACACGATCTGGAGGATTTGAGCTCTAAGAGATACAAAGCATATCAATAGCGTCGAATTGATCACTCCTGACGATTCAGCAAGCCAAGTGACCCCAGCTTAAAGCTCTCTGTCGACCATCTCTCCGATGCGAGATACATGGAAATAGCTTCAGAGATAGACGAATAATTACGAATAATTACGAATAATGCGAATATTATTCGTACGAATATTAGTAAGCGGAAATTCTAAATTTTATTCGTATTCGACTACGAATATTCGTACGAATACGAATAGTCGAATATTCGTGTCCAGCCCTAATATCTTCTCCACAGACATACGCATTAGCTCAGTTTAGACCTTCACCAATACATATCTGTTTTGGTCCGGATCGTGCAATTCATCAGTCCCACTCTCAGCCCTAAGATGAACTTTCGACTAAGAGTGCACGGTGCAGCCAACCTTGGGTCTGTCGCAAGACGCCTGTCATCCGTATTACCCCTACGCTAAACCCAAATTGGATCACTCATTTCATATCCTATGTATTTTGATATCACCATCTTTTCACTCAAGATAGATATCCTTTTGGAAGATAATAGGAATCGTCAATAACTTCCTGCATTGTCTCTACTATAACTGAATTTATGCAGTCTATCTACTTAGTCAGCATCCACGCGTAATGCGACAGGGTCATGACACGGTTTGGATGCGCAAGATCTGCGATTACCAAGTCCCATTAATCTAAACTGAAGAGAGGGAAAGAGAGAATCTCCTGGCGCCTTTGTGTGCGAAGTAGCGACTCTCCCCTCTGCTGCCCTAATGCAGTGTAACTATGTTTGCTTTTCTGATAATCCCTATGCAATCCACCAGCCACACCCAAGGGCTCAGGCCACAGGCCTGGGACCATAACAGGTCATGCCCAATATTGCCCATAAACATAAAAGACGAGTAGTTAACAACAATTCAATGTTTGCCTCACGATTGGAGATTCACTACAGTGAGACTCTTACAAGGTACTATTAATATTCACGTCGATACTCCTTCAGGTCCTAGCATTACGGTATCTAACTTAGTAATATTACCTATAACTAGTTATAACTACGCGGTTTCTATGACACGGTCTGGATGCGCAAGATCTGCGATTACCAAGTTCCATTAATCTAAACTGAAGAGAGAGAAGGAAGAAATCTCCCAGCGCCTCTGTGCACGAGATATAAACTCTTCTCTCTGCTATCCTAACACAGCTCAACACAGCTCCTTAACACAACTCCATCCTAACACATAGCTCCCATATTGATATGACTATCTCCTTGATAATCCTCCATGCCATCCTCTAGCCACATCCCTGTGGCATCAGCCATACTCAAGGGCCCAGGCCACAGGGCCCGGGACCATAACACAAAGTAATCAAACGTGGCGCCTTCTGGGTCGTTGAACCACACATCAAACAATCTGTTCTTAAAGCTAAATGCTAACCTGAACAGGCCCAGCAGTAAATTTCACGAGTTCTGACATGGAGAAGAAGCTATCCATTCGAAAAGGTCTATTTAGACCATATTCAAATAGAGGAAGCATTCAATCTTGACATATGGGTCGTTCACTTCTACTGTGACTACTCAGCGTATTATATTTCATTTAATCTCCCAAATAAACCTAAGAAGAACTAGTTTCTATGACGCAGGAGTTCCTTTCGATCATGAATGATAACTAGTGTCAAAAGAGCTAAACTGGCCCCCATCAAGGGGGTATTCCTTTTGACTGAGTGGTTTGTGTGACGCTAACGATCTACGAGGGTTTCTGTCAGCAAATATGGGGACTTGGAAATTTTAAACGGGACCTGACACGATCTGGAAAGAATCACGTTCAACTTCCTAGCTATTCGGCAAACCAAAACTATAGAAAAAGAGAAGAAAGAAGGAAGAATTGCAAGAAGATTGTTTATATGTTGCCCATCGCCAGTAACACATTGCTTCTCTTTCACCATGCTCCTGTTTTGTGAATTATACAAGACTCAACTCTCCCTTAACACATGATCAGGACCTAACAACCAGGAGGAAAGGGAAATATGAGAAGTGTATAAATGTCTCAAGAAAAAGGGGTATACGGAGTAAGACTACAGAAATGCCAAGAAACACAGATGGTCTGTGACACTATTTATATGCACTACTGCCACTACAGCACTAGCCACTAGAACGTAAGAGAGCCCCAAACGAGACGGTACCCGCATTCGGGGCTCACAGCAGTGTGAGACAAGTTTCCTAGGCGCTTGCTCGAGGACGAGCGACACTGCGACAGGCATACTACTTTCTCACTAACAACACTACCCCAAAAAATTGCGGGACCCGAAGGAGGATGGTGTCTACTGAAATATATAAGAACCATAGCAGCTCGTTGTATCAATTTAACCCTCCGGTCTCTACTCACTCGTTTACTTATCTTTATTTATCGCTGTGCTCCCCGTACGCGCCTTCAAGATGCGTACCTTCTTGTTTCTTATTCTACCTTTGGTAGCCCTGGCTATCCCTCCTCCTATTACCCCTATCAGAAGCGCTCTCGAAAAACGCGAAGACTTCATTCCTTACCGGATCGAGGATGCCTGCCGTAAACCGGATAGCCAGCTCAAAGATGTTAACCGGTATCAGAAGGTTGCTAGCGCCGTGAAAAATGCTCGTACGATGGCAAAGCTGGCGTTAAAGGAATGGTGGGATGAGGGCAAGCATGGTGAGGCTGCAGCAACATATCTGGCTATTCCAAATGATGGAAAGTACAAAGAGAACGTGTTTGCACAGAGGGTACATGCAAATTTGCAAAGTATTACATTGTTAGATGGGAGAGTACCGTTTCTTAGTAGGGTTATTGTGAGTTAGTAAGATGATTTGGTGTCCTCCCTTCCACTCTCACGTTACTCATTACATTTTCACGTATTAGCTTTCCTAAAGGGAAATTCTTGTTATTTTATAGCTCACATTGGGATGGTATCATCCAACTGATCTAGCTCTATAGGATGTCCACTGCACGGATATCAGCGGTACATGTAAGAAAAAGCCCGGAGGGGCGAACCAGTGAGTGTTCCTGGCGATAACTTTTACAGATTCAAGCACTTATATTTCTTAGGGTGGTCGCCGGGTATGCCGAGAATACCTATCATTTTCTAGGAGGATGGCATTACGACGTTGTTCTATGTGAGCCATTTTTTCTGACGCTTACGCCTGGCGAGGTGGCGAGGTATTGGCCCACAAGCAGCGACTTTAAGGCGGTTTCTATGGACTATCTCGAGGTAAACCATATCGACATGCTCGTGCTTACAAGCGTTAATTTGGCTGTCAGAACGATGCTGGCAAGATGCTCCATGAGATGATGCATATCAACCTCATCACTGCGGACCGACCGCATGGTAAGGCGGCTAATGATCCTGATTTGATTAAAGCTGACTGGGGACATAGTTCCTGATAAATATTACCAGGGCGAGCGGGCCTACACGGCTCCCCTAATTGCTGACTGGGTTTTGAAGGCCAAGGCGAGGACAGAGGATGTAGTTCAAAATGCAGACAGCTATACGCAGTTCGTTAACGGTACGTATCTTTATATAAGCTGGGGCTTTAGTAGCACTGACACACTGCCAGCTGTCTTTTTCACGTCAAAGTTCGGATTCCTCCCCCCTCCAGCGAAGAAAGAACCATTAGATGAGGAATTACAATGTTTCGGCTACGACAATGAATACGTCGACAAGAGCCAGGACAAATTTATTAAAGACTTCTGCCACAAGGTAGCTGCCGAGTACAAGCCATTTTCTAGTGGCAGGATTGAACACGAGTACGACGAAGGGTTACCAGGGCAGGTCCGGTTCAAACTCCATCGAACAAGTGATGGCACCCTACCCTCGGACGAGGTCGAAAGGCAATGTAACAGCGCCATGTCTAAGATCTTCCACGGTTGTGACACATCAACAAACTGGAAGCATGGCGGCGCGTACGCTTTTACCAAAGATAAAAAAGAAATCTATACGTACCTCGTTGAGCCTGCGCGCTCACGCCCAGACCCAATCCCCGCAAAATTACCCGGCACGTGCGATGTATGGTATAAATTCTGGCACGCCGAGTTTTTTATCCATGGAGGACTTTGGGCGGAAGGCGATTATGGCCAGGACAAATTGCTGCCCAATCTGCGGAGATGTGGCGTCGTTACTGCATGGAAGTTTGAATACAGGGAGGAGTCGGATAAGGATAACTTGGAGTGGTATGCCTACGGTCACCTCCCGGTTGGCGCACAACAATGGAATTGTGTGAGACAGGCAGTGGTGGATTCGGGCGGCCCACCGGATATTGGCTGTGGAGGCAAATAGTGTCGAATTTACGGGGCTTACGCCACAGGACTGTTGCCTCGCTCATCTCCTACTCACATTCCTTACCCCTTTCCTTATGTAATCCATCTTGTTTCCATCAGAGATGGACCTAGATAGCTCGAGATTACTTCTTATGCTCTGTTGGGGGGCAGAGGCGATAAACACATCATATTTGAGGCTGGATCTCGAGTGGTTTGACCACCACGTCCCTATACTTCACACTGTATTTTAGATACATCCAATACATCGCTCTTCTCTCTCATCCGTGATCTTTGCTCGATTGGGGTATTCTACACAGAAGCAGCCACTGTTCAGAGCCATTTGAGACATACGCAAGCAAAAATGACATGATCCCGTTATCAATGCCCTATGCGCTCTTCGCATAAGTCAACGGACCCACTTTCCGTGCAACCCACTTTCCGTGCACCCCTTAAGATAATACGTAGATACGTAGAGCGCTTTTGATCAATGAAATAAATTCAACAACACCATCTAATATTATCAGGATGACTCGTATTAATGAAGAGGCTGACCAACAAGCTATCAATGCTTTCCATGACCAAGAATTTGACTCGCTGAATAAATGTGCGGATGCGTACGGTATCCAGAGATCTACACTCCGGGACAGACTCAACGGCAACGATTCCCATCAAAATAGTTCGAAGAAACTTCAGAAGTTATCTCCCGAGCAGGAAAAATGGCTGGTCGAATGATCCAGGAAGAAGATCTCGCTGCCAGAGCCCCCTCCCATGCAAGAGTACGCCAAATGGCTGAGGCAATTGCACGAGAAAATGGGGATACTACCCCTTGCGGTATCAATTGGACTCAGGGATTTCTACGACGCAATCCGGAGGTAAATACAGTAGTGGGACGATCAATCGAGGCTGCCCGCGTCAATGAAGCTTCGAAAGAGAGGATCCAAGCGTTCTTTGATACATATCTGCGTGTCTGCGCGGAGTACAACATCAAGATCTCAAACCAGTGGAATTTCGACGAGCATGGCCTCTCCCTTGGCTGTGGAACCAACGGGAGAGTAATTGTCCCTGTTCATACTTCTCCTAAAAGGCGAAAGAAGAGCCATACATACGTCAAGTCCAAAGAAAATCGAGAATAGGTCTCAGTAATCGAAGCTGTATCAGCAGACGGCCGAGCAGGAACGACAAGGAACGGAACTGTATGCAAGCCCTGCGTACTTCGACTTTCGACTACAAGCAGTTCAAGGACAGGAATTCTAGCCGACTTAGAGATACCTGCCAGTGGGTTCTCCATCATGACAATTTCCGAAACTGGAAAGACAGCAGCTCCTCAAGTCTTCTTTGGATATCTGCGGATCCTGGATGCGGAAAATCGGTTTTCACTAAATCTCTTGCCGGCGACCTTAAAAACACGGACGGTCACACAACTTGCTACTTCTTCTTCAAAGATGACGACGTACAGAAAAGTGCAGTTACAGCGCTTGCGGCACTACTCCACCAGCTCTTTCGGCGGAAACCAACACTTATCAAATATACTATGTTGGATTTCGCTGCTAATGGAGATAAACTTTCTCAACCATCTCATACACTCTGGAGTATTCTAATAAAAACCGTGGCTGATCGGAATACCGGAGAAGTCTTTTGCGTCTTAGATGCCCTCGACGAATGCGCAGAAGCAGGGCAGTATCAGATTATTACCGCTCTCAGTTCATTCTACCAGCAAGCAATCTCCGGAAACAATACGTCTCAACTCAAAATATGTGTCACTAGTCATCCTTACCCAGACATCAAACGGCGATTCACCGATCTTACTTCTAACTTTCCAACGATTCGGCTGCGCGGCAAGCAAGAATCAGATAAAATCAGTCATGAGATCAACCAAGTTATTAAATGGAGAGTATCTCAATTCGGGTCTGAGCTTAAGCTTAATAATTCAGAACAGTCAAATCTCGAAACAGAGCTATTAACAATATGTCACCGAACATACCTCAGGGTAACACTCATTTTCGATATCATTCGCAAAATGATTCGACCGACAAGTCGGAAATTGAAGGCTGTTATCAGTGGCCTTCCGTCCACGGTTGATGAAGCATACGAAGCGATTCTTACAAAAATGGAGGAGGATGATCGACCACAAGCACGGAAATTGCTCTATATCGTTGTTGGAGCAACCAGGCCTCTTACACTAAAGGAAATGAACATCGCTCTAGATATAGAAGACCATCATCGCTCCTACAACGACCTTGAACCTGACCTTGACGATAAGCGAGGTTTGAAGCGTCGGTAAGACAACTCTGCGGGCTCTTTGTGACCGTAGTAGATCGAAACGTCTATCTGATCCATCAAACCGCAAAAGAATTCCTTCTCACGAAGAGTGAGGCCGCTGCTATTGGATGGAAACATTCTCTTGTTCCAACGGATTCTGAGCTCCTTATGGCCAGAGTATGCCTTATATATCTTTCGTTAACTGAATTTGATAGAGCGACAGATCAGATCTCTGCCGCAGTCAAACACGGCTACTTAGATTATGCCGTAGGTTCCTGGGCTGCCCACTACCGAAAAGCACAGCATAGCGCAACCGAGCAAATGTTGCACTTGGTTTCTAGAGTCTGCGATACCCGATCCCAGCGGTTCAAGAGTCGGTTCGATGTATACTGGTCGATGGCTCACCAGTGGCACTCCAATCCACAGTTCACAAGAATTCTGATGGTAGAGTCATATTTTGGGCAGGAGGGCATCGTCAAGCTGTTGCTCGAGGCCAAGGCCAACGTCGACTCGAAGGATAAGTACGGTCAGACGCCGCTGTGGTGGGCGGCCGAGAACGGGCGCGAGGGTGTCGTCAAGCTGCTGATGTCCTATCCTTCCGCGCTATATCATTTTCAGCCTTCCCGCCGCCCACTGTCTAAAGTCATCCACGCTCTTATATATTCTGTATAATATAGACAAGAACTTCTATTGCTTTGAAATCAATCTGCTGTATATTCCATACGGTCTCGGATTGGTAATAATCGTCGGTTTTATGTGCCACGTGATATATCCTCTTTGACGGTCAAATGCCTTTCGTTTTCACCATACTCTCTGCATTTTAACAGCGTTCTTTTAAGGTCAGCTTCAGCTCAACCCCTGTTTAGCTTTAAGACAACGTAGGTACTCTACTAATGCGTATGGAAGGCATCCGTGCGCTGAGAATAATCCAAAATGCAAAACCGGAAACCGAATTTGCTCGCGACTGTAACCATGAACTGATGATCGCTACTATTGAGATGTTATTCGTGCTCGTCCAAGCATCCGTGGATAGCGAGATGGTGTTGCATGTGCTGGCCAACTCTGTAATAAGGGCTTGCCGGGATGCTAGGAACTGCCTCTTAAGGCTTCGTTTTACGCTTCTCGCGGAGCTCGTGGGATCACTTGATGTTACTGCCACTCTTAGCACATTTCGGAAGGCCTGACTCTCTACGGAAGAGAATGTAATCTTATTAACAACGACCCACTTAAGGAGAGCTTCTTCGAAGCAATCCGCTACCGAATCCGAAGCCGAAGTCGAAGAGACCTAGCTAGCGAGGGAATTTGGCAGAACGAGCACGTTGTTTTGTTAAGCGCGGGTGATTCCGTGAGTTGTCGATAAATGGCGGATAAGATTACTCGTAGAGCCCTGTAAGAGGCCTTCGTTCGATAACCAGCGACATCCTGACCTTATATAACCAACCAGTTTTGATCTGTTATCGGTTGAAAAGAAGGCCCAAACCCAGCTCTTATACTTCTTCCTGTTCCTGCCATCACGATTGATACGCAACACGCTCCCTAGTGGTTGCTCTAGAGAATTGTAAGAAATAGAATCTGTAGAATACATTAAACTATCCTGTGATACCGATGACGCCGTGATACTAAGATCCACCGGTTCTAGAGCACCGCCGTTGTACTCCGAGTTCTCCTTGTCTATTCCATCGTTTAGGTCATGATAGTTAAGTCGTAGGGCCCGAGGCTCTCGCTAGGAGAAGCTTAGAAAGGAACCTGGTGAAGACATTGGTGATATATCCCTGTATGTTGATGCTCTGAGAGGCTGCAGGGTAATTTAAGAGATTTTTTACAGATAGCCTCATGGGTTTCACGGATATATGCGCGGATACAGATATTTATCCGGATAGGAATTCTCTATCCGTGTATTTCACGGATCGGATACGGATACAAAAGTTTCGCGGATCGGATATTATCCGGATATGGCTGGTGTATCCGCGAACTCGATCCGTGCCGAGCTCTAAGTCTGTTTGTCTGAGCATCAAGGGCTTGCGGGAGTGGTAGAGTATTGCATTAGCGATGGAGCATTGAGAGGCGTTGGTCGGTATATCGCGTAATTAATGTTTACGAATAACGAAGCCATTTGTAACGTGGTTGGGATGGAACATCCTGATGATTGAGATATTTGTACAGTTAGTCCTCCATCTAGATTGTTCGCGAGGAAACTCCAGTAAAGAAGAGGAGGAGCGACAGTGTAGTATCACGACACCAATTGATGATGTTGTGAAGTTTGGTTGTGAGGTGAAGATCAAAAGCTCAAGATGACAAGATGTCAAGAACTCATCAACGATCAATGAATTATACCCAATTAAATAATTAATCGATCGACAAGGAGCTCGGGCCACAAGAAGTTTTGACGTCGAATGCTCCCTGAACTTGTAATTATGCTTCAACAATTTAAGGTTCCAACCAGTTCTCCAAACTGCAAGCTGCATTCAACCCTCACAGCTTGTCATACTCGAAATGAATCGATAGCGACCGGTCTCCTTTGACGTCTTTGTATATTTTGGTACAACGTCGCCGCACTCACGACAATAATGTCGCTCTCTCCCTACATCAACAGTAAGTCCACATCCACCGCCCTACTTCTTGTCTCCAAGCAACAGCTAACACCGCCCTGTAGAGAAAGTCTGCGTCATCACCGTCGACGGCCGCACCCTAATCGGCGTCCTCTTCTCCTGCGACCAACAGACGAACCTCGTCCTACAAGAGACCGTTGAGCGCGTCATCCGACCCGCCGACGACCCGGAGCCCAGCTCAGAAGTCGAGCATGGGCTATATCTCATCAGAGGCGACAATGTCGTGATATGCGGGCTCGTGGACGATGAGATCGATTCGAAGATCGATTGGACGGCGGTGCGGGGCGATGTCATTGGGACGACGAAGCATAGTTGAGGGCCGAGGGGGATTTGGATCGTTCTTGAAAACGCAGGAGCAAGGAGCTTGCGCGGTGCACGACGATGATTGAGCTGGCCGAGGTGAGCAAGGTGGAAACGTCGGGCTCAGTTACGTTGAAGATGCAGATGTATGTGTTTAAAAGGTTATATTACGCTGTTCCTGCTGACAATCCTGTGCAAAGAGAATCAGAAGCTGATCATGTGGATCCTGTGCTCCAAGGGATATCTCATGTGTCGAGGAGATGTGTATCGATTATTACGAGCAAGTTGGGTATATATATCCTAGGTCGCCGTCATTCCAAATGGCAAAGAGACAGATATTGGCTCCGATCAATGCACCTAGACTTGGGGATGGGAAATGTGAGAGTCCGAGTTGGTCCGCAGTAACTCGGATATATCCTCCGTCGGGTCTGCAAAGGCGCGTCGCTCGAGATGATATATCTCCTTAAGCCTTTCAGCCATCCTGTCGAATATGAACCTACCTCAACCCTGCTTTCCTGTCAACCACAATATTATACAACCCGTGTTCTTTCTTTTCTTCCCGTCCTTTCTCCTTCCCGCCTCTATTCCCTGATGCCAAAAGAGGATCCCTGTCCGAGTCTGATTGACGAAGACGATGTTTATTCCTATTTAAGGATCCCAAATGAGGATTTCCAGGTTGAATACTCTTTTCTCCAAGGTGATCACATCTGTGACTGCCTTTGTGTGTTTGCACAACACCCCATTGGAGTGAAGCAAATGTGCGATATTATATTTGGACCCAACTCACTATATCCCACTGTGGCAAAGCGACACATCGTAACCCCGTGTGCTCATTGCTATATTCGCAACTCCTACGCGTATCTTGCTACCATTCCTAGTGGGTTGTTCAGTGACGCTGCAACTTCGACGGGAGCAGAAGCTAAGCTCATGTCAGAAACTGTTCACCTTTTACTTGGATTCATTATCAGCCGTGGACTGTGAAGGCTATTACGCGCATAATTGACGCGATATCGTCCCCTCTATGAATATTCCACGTCAGCAATGAAGTCAAAACCAACGCGAGCACGATCACGATTCCAGCCCAATGCCCTTATCAGGTACTCCCCCTCAACGGCTAATGTCAAACCCAACTTGAGCTGCATAGTATTTTTGGGTCAAGCGGTCTGGTGGATAGAACATGCTCAGAGCATGCTAAGAGCACCACGAGCAACGACCAGATTGATATGCGGTGTGATGGTAGTGAATGGGCTTGTAATCATGGATATGGACTTCTTTCCGCTGGGTCGAGATATAAAGGGTACACTTAGCATGAGTATACTCCATCTCTTAGATACTAATCCGTCCGGCGGTCGGACGGAGATGGAGGTGTTGAGAATAACCATCTTATAATGATGCTTAGCTCAGCTCCTCTCGTGAAACACACTTGCTCCATCTCCTCTAATTATATGCAGTAAATCTGTGACAGTCTTGGGCTTTGCCCAGTCTGTGCGTTGTGGCCTTGCGGCCTAAGGCAGAAGGAAGACCGTTTCCCCACAGATGTAAAATAGCAGATCGCCAGTGAAAGAGATCTTTTCCTTTTTCTCTTTAGCAAATCAACAGCGTTCCAGCCATACCAAACCCTTCGAGGTTTGAGCCTTTACAAAATCGGAACATAATCATCAATATACCATCCGCCTGACTGATCTAATCTCTACTGCAACTCTACCTCCTATACAAGGATAAAGCCCCTAACATCTCCTACTTCGGCTACCGCTTCTCATCGAGTCAGACGCTAAAATCTATAGCCAGTCGCAATGGTGGAAAGTTGTGGAGATAAATGGTTCAATTCTTGTAGAATTGATATCATCAAGGTAACTAGGCCGTAGTCTAAATAAAATATTAATAAGGAGGTAGTAGGGTGACTTCCACTAGTGAGAGCATTTTACCTTCCAAATGCTGCGAAGTTTCCTGGCAGCATCGACAAAGATGCCGAACCAGCTCGTTAGAGTATTGCAAGCATTTCCTTTTCACTTGTGGCACTTTTATAGCGATACCTTTTGTCGGCAGATTCGTCCGATCAGTTGTCAAATCACAACGTTCCAAAGCTAGCATTACTTTAGACTACCAAGACGCCGATGGCAAAGCTACCGCCGAATCCATCAAACGGTATTCGACTGTTTTACAAAACATTATATTGGGGATTACTGTCACTCTATTGGTCGCAGTTTCTCTTGCGACGGCCATAATCACCACTTTAAGTGCTAGTACAAATTCTTTCCTAGTGGCAGAATAGCTCACATTTGGCATCTCGATCTTACTTCTTATCGGATTCTGCAATATCGTCTTCGAGAGACATCCCGTGGCACGCTTCAACTATGCAGCAGTCGAGGCAATTGCGTTCGTCGTACTCTTCGCAACCGATATATTCAATATCTATAGTTAGGACCTTAGTTATAGATGCCTCGAAACATCAAGAAGGCCCCAACAAGCTCTCGACTGCGGTGGTGGGGACATACACTGCGGCGCATCTCCTCGGTATGTCCGCTTGCATTACTTACCCAAGGCGCCCACATGTCTATCGAAATGGACACACGGTCGATGAGCAATGGACTGTTTCGATTCTCTATCAAATTACCCACTCGTGGTCCGAGTCAGTCCTTCGGCTACCGGTGAAGGGGAAACGACTCTCCTTCGACATATTGCCAGTGATGGATCATCACACGCGGGCACGAGATCTCTATGACGCATTTTACCAAATCAAGGGCAGCAAGTCTCTTGCCACGCATCTAATCAGATCGCATTCCGTCGCGTTCTCTCTGCAGTATGCCTATGCCTTGCTTGATGCTCTGCTCATGTTTTTACCACAGTACGCTTTGTATAGATTGATAAAAACACTGGAGAGGAGAGAGGCTGGGATCAACTCGACCAAAGAAGCAACTTTCTGGGCCGCCATGCTTGGCCTGTTTACGATTTTAGCCAACGTTGCGAATATCCAACTGTGGTTCACCTCCTTTTAATCGACTAACCACGCCAATCCGGGCCCAAATCTCCGCCCTGGTATTCGGCAAGTCGCTAAGGAAAAAGGACGTCAAATCTGCTAGTACAAAACGCACAGATATAGAGAGCGACGACGATACAAAAGGAACGGGCGCGAAAGAAGAGTCGGAAGAAGAGAATGTCAATGCCAGCAGACAATCCGCCATCAATTTGGTTGGTGTCGATGTTTCCCGTATCGCCGACTTCGCAAAGTTCAACATGTTTCTCCCGGGCATCACCTTTCGTTTGGCCACATCATTCTATTTCCTCCTATCGTTAATCGGGTGGCAGGCGCTCCTTGCGGGCTTGGTAACCCTGGTCCTGCTCGCGCCATTGAATGCACACACCGCGAAGAAATACACCAATGCTCAGGGCCAGCTGATGGCCCACCGAGACCGAAAGGTTGCGGTCGTCAGCGAAGCCTTGAACGGGATCAGGCAAATCAAGTTCTCGGCCACCAAAGGGCAGTGGTACCGCAGAATCCGAGAATCAAGAGAAGGCGAACTGCGCGCACAATGGAACGTGTTTGTGTTTCATTGTTTCATTGTTTTCTGTTGGATCGTGGGCCCAGTACTACTCTCAGCATCGTCGATCTCAGTGTACGCACTGCTACATGACAGTCTCCTTCCCTCTGTTGTTTTTACATCCATTTCTATTATGTCTAGCATCGAAATGACGCTTGTGATGATTCTAGAGGTGATCACGAACCTTCTGAACTGCGCTGTCAGTCTGAAACGAGTCAGTGAATACCTGGAATCCGATGAAAAGAGAAACGTTGCAATCCCAGGCGACTCAATCGCGATGACGGGTGCGACAATTACCTGGCCTGCGGATGAAGTCGACCCAAATACGTTCAGGCTAAAGGATGTGACACTGAAGTTTCCAAATAATCAGCTCTCTGTTATAGCCGGGTCGACCGGTTCTGGAAAGAGCCTGATACTCGCAGCCATCCAAGGAGAGGCCGAGGTGCTTGAGGGCAATCTAGTTCTTCCACCCCGTCTCCCTTATCACGAAAGATTCGACCAGAGAGCAAATAAGAGTAACTGGATACTGCCGAATTCAATGGCATTTGTTAGTCAAGAAGCATGGCTGGAGAATATGTCTTTCCGAGACAACGTGTTGTTTGGACTCCCCTTCGACGAACAGAGGTACAACAAAGTCGTGAAATATTGTGCTCTCGAGAAGGATATTTCCTTCTTAATTGACGGCGACCAGACTGAGATTGGAACATCTAGAATCAATATTTCGGGAGGTCAAAAGTGGCGTCTCAGCTTAGCTAGAGCACTGTATTCCCGTGCTGACATCCTTCTCCTAGACGATATCTTCACAGCAGTTGACGCTACCACCGGAAGACACTTGCTTAATGAAGCACTTACCGGGGAGCTCGCGCAAGGAAGAACTAGGATCCTTGCGACTCATCATGTGTCAATGCTTTATGGCACGATGGCGTATGAAGTTATTCTTGGGGACGGAATGATTAAGCGATGTGGTGCGACTCCTGTGGTGGCCGATACTGAGACTCTAGACGATTCTCCTGGCAATGAGTTTATTGACGAACCTTATCACAATGGCGCTAGGGAGCTTGGAGGCCAACGGAAGGAGTACGTCGGGGACCATAATTTGATACTAGTTAAGAGCCACCAGTCCGAACCTCCAGATGGCTCTCATCATCTAAGGAAGTTGGATGCCACGCCGCGGAAGTTCGTTGAAGAAGAGACACGTGAAGTTGGATAGGTCAAATGGCGGGTGTATCTCACATACTTCCGCGCAAATGGAGGGTTCTGGTTTTGGACAGTACTCCTCAGTACATATATTTTCTTTGAAGTCATGCTGCTTACACGAGTAAGTCTTTTTGACCCGATACTATTCAGATCCATCACTAACTACCATATCACTGGTCCTGGATCCTCCGTCTCTGGACCAAAAACGCAGCACACGCTAAGGATCACATACTGTACCTGATCTGCTGCTCCAAGGGCACAAACGCCAAACGCAAACCAAGGGTACCGATCCCAATACCCTTTTCTACCTCTACCTATACGTCGGTGTTTCCTTCGCTATTAGCTTCGAAGGTGTGCTACGGTTCCTGATATTCTACGTTGGCCCTATCCGAGTCAGTCGCACCATGTTCGAAAGCATGCTGTCCAATATCTTGCATGCAAAACTGCGCTGGCTGGATACTGTCCCTATCGGCCGCATCCTCAACCGCTTCTCTTCCGACTTCACAGTTGTTGACTCTAAGCTCGCCCTGTCGGCCTCATTCGGGATCCACAACTTTATGCTTGTTGTCGGCATCATCACGGCGGGTGCCTTCATATCGCCGATCTTCCTTCTATTCGCCGTCGCGCTGCTTATCCTTTGCTTCCGTTACTCACTGTACTACATCGCTGACGCTCGCGAATTAAGACGCCTCGAAAGCGTCGCTAAGTCTCCCATCTTCGAGCTCTTCGGCTCGGCCCTTGCCGGCATCGCTACGATTCGTACGTACGACATGACCCCCAGCTTCATGACCACTATGAACGCCCACATCGACAACTACGTAAAGACACACTGGTACCTGCAGCTGCTTAACTTTTGGCTTACGTTCAGACTCTCCCTCATCGGCGCCGCATTTTCCCTACTCGTCTCTGTACTGATAGTCACCATCCACAACATCGACGCCGCGCTCGCAGGGTTTGCTCTCGCGTTCACGGTCCAGTACAGCAGGGCTGTCACCACGATGCTCCGGCAGGCCGCCGTTATCGAGCTCGGCATGAACGCCACCGAACGCATTGTCGAATACTGCGAACTCGACACAGAGCCCGAAACGGGCGTCGATGTGCCGGCATCGTGGCCGTCCGACGGCGCGCTCGAAGTCGACAACCTCAGCGTCGCATACGCGGACGATCTCCCCGACTCGCTAAAGGACGTGTCATTCCGCATCGAGGCGAGGGAGCGTGTCGGAGTCGTGGGGCGCACTGGGGCCGGGAAAAGCTCGCTGACCCTTGCGCTGTTCCGCTTCCTCAAGGCGAAAGCCGGGACGATCACGATCGACGGCATCGACATCAGCAAGGTGAAGCTGCACGACCTTCGCAGCCGGCTCGCGATCATCCCGCAGGACCCGGTTCTGTTCAGCGGGACGGTCCGGTCGAACCTCGATCCGTTAGAGGAGCACGAGGACTGGGAGCTGCAAGACGCACTGGAGCGGGTGCATCTGATCAGCAGCAGCGGTATCGACACGCCCGTCGCCGATGACCCATCATCATCCTCATCCGCTACCTTCTCCGGCACTAGCACACCACGCACCCCCACCACCAATATTTTCCACTCCCTCACCTCCCCAATCTCCGAATCGGGGCACAACCTGTCCCAAGGGCAACGCCAACTCCTCTGCCTCGCGCGGGCGCTCGTGTCGCGGCCGTCGATCCTGGTGCTGGACGAGGCGACGAGCGCGGTGGACACGGCGACGGACACGAAGATCCAGCAGAGCATCCGGGAGAACTTCCAGGGGTGCACGCTGCTGGTGATCGCGCATCGGTTGAGCACGGTGGCGGACTTCGATCGCACCTTGGTGATGAGTGAGGGGCGGAGCGTAGAGTTTGGGTTGTCGGGGGATTTGTTGAGGAGGGAGGAAGGAGGGGTGTTTAGGGGGTTGGTGGAGGAGAGTGGGGATCGGGAGGCGTTGAAGAGGATGATTTTTGGGGAGGGAATATGGGATTTCAGAGGGATATATAAAAGTCCTTTAATTGATAGAAATGCGAATAGACAATACCTTTGAACACACGGATTTGCTAATACAGATGGATAGTGAGATCAAGGTTCATGACACGGCGATGTATGGGTCGCACAACTCAATGCAATTACAGAATTACTAATATCCGATGTACAAATACACACACAAAGCCAACGAACTCCCAACCAGCCCTCCCTGATAGAGGGTAGATTTGTTTTCAGGCATGTGCACAATGAACACCACCGCCCCAACCCCCGCCCAAATTGCCAAATTCCTGTGCTCCGTAAGTTGACCTATCCCAGAGGGTCGCCTGATGAAGCCCCCTTCAACTCTCAGCTGCCGCCCATCTGCAAATTACTTTCTATCTCACCTCGCACACCTCCGCTCCCATCCAATGCCCCTTACGCCACAATCGCCCTCTCCTCCTCCCGGCCCCTCGTCTCCCCGTTCACACCCTTCCCATACCCGACTCCCAGTTCATCCTCGTCCGCGTAGTCCGAACCCGGGTGGTCGGATGCCGGCACCCAGATGCCCGACTCGCGGTCGGCGTGCGGATTGTCCTGGCCGGAGAGGTCGACCGCCTCATGTTGGCGGTTGCGGTGCTTCCGGCGCTGGGAAAGGGTGCGGGAGCGCTGGGAGAGGCTGGATTTGACGGCGGCGTGCTGATGGACCCAGTTGGTGAGGGCGTCCTCGCAGTCTTGGATGATCCTGTATCAAATCGTCACGTCAGCTTTTCTGCATTTCTCTCTTCCTGATGGATGGTGGGCTAGGAACGACTCACGCCTTGCTCGCTTCGTATCCGTCATATGCATTCCTCGTCTCCCCGGGCGTCACCGGGGTGTCGTCGACCAACTCCAGCAAATGCGTCCCGTACCCGGCGATGATCGCCAATTTCTCGCAATGTTCCCGGAGCGCGTCGAATTGGTAGGTGAACGCGGCCTTGAGCTTCTCGCGGGTGATGTTGGACAGCTGGGCTTCGGCGACGAGGGACTCGGCCTCCGCGCGGACGAGCTCCTGCTCGAGGACGACGATGCGTGGGGAGTTGGGCTCTTTGTATTTGAGCTGGGCGATTTGGTCCGTGATTTTCTGCTTGCCTGCGGGTGGTGTCAGTGGGCGTTTCTTGGGGACTTGCTGCGGGCTGGTGGGGAGAAAAGGTACATACGGTCTCGGCTGGGTTGAACGGATGCTTCGATGTTGCGAATGCTCTTGAGCGTCACACGATATTGGTCGTATCGATCGACAAACTGGTCCTCTAATTCGCCAATCTCGTATATCAGGACCCCAAGCTTGTCGGTTACGTCGGAGACATCGTCATCGCACGCTTCGCCCCAGATGGACAGTTGTTGCTAGTGTGCATATCAGCCTCGCATGTTCTTGACCGGGCTTGATACCATCGTCGACTTACCGCGACCTCCATTCTTTCCCTCCCGACCAACTCCATGCTGCGCATCGCATTCTTCTCCATCTTCACCAACGTCGACAGCTTCTTCGCCAGCTCGGGCCCGAACGCTCCGGCGGTGTTTCGCCTGAACTGGTGGCCTGCGGAGACATGATCCATTAGCATTCTGAACCGACACGGGAAGGCCGGAGCCACCGTCTCAGGCGGATGCGGCGCATCCGCGTGGTGTGGGGGATGGAGCACGCACCGATGTTACTCTTCCCAAACAGCCGGCTACCCTTCGTCGTCGAGGGCGGCGGCGGGGGGTTCTGCAGCTGCTGCGCCGTCGGGGCGCGCGACTGGCGCATAGAATAGGTCCGATGCATCGTTGCGGTTTGAATATATGATGACTGTGGACGGTCTGGGGAGGACTCGTGGGATTCGGATGCCTATGGACCGAAGATGACGAGCAGATACCCCTTGAGGAGCAAAAGAAGATGTGGAAAATACTTCCGACTCCGACACTGCAGAAGAAGTGTGCGCTGAGTGTAGTGGTGAGGATGACGATAGCCCAGGAAGGGAGATTCCCAAGCTGGCTGTTGAGCTACTGTTACAACAATCGACTCAGCCAATGACGTCGTTCACTCTCTGCAGATCGACACCTCCGTTTGGATGATCCTAGTGAAGAATATGGATTCAAATGAGTAAAACTGGTGATAGAGCCCTTAACATCAAATTGGTATCAAGTTCAATGTTAAGATGTTTTTTATGTGAGAAGTTAATGCTATTTTTTGAATGAAATACATCGATTGTGTTTCGGATCCTTCCGGATTTCGCATTCCAGCGAGGCGATTATCACGAGAGAGCAGGACGTCAGTTTGACTTGTCATGGCATCGTCGTGTCGTCATGGAGAACAACGCTTCCTTTGGTAGTGGAGGTCGGTGGATGCCACTGTAGATGGACTGTCTAGAATCCATGAAGAAATTCGCTTGTTTAAAACGTAGCCGCGCATTCCATGATGTCCCGAAAGCACTTTTTGGTGCCGAGCCGATGCATTGCCCAGATGCGATGGGGTATATAACGCCATAATGTCATAAGTAGTCCGGTTTCACCGATCATATCCGTATCACATCGCACGTTCAGTATCCTCCTCGTCCTCTCCCTCGCCATCCACCACCTTTTCCCCCGCCAAATCCACCCCCGCCCCGTCCCCTTCCACCTCTCCCTCTCCCCCTACCAAACCCTCCTCTACCCCCTCTTCCTCCACGTCCACCTCTGCCATCATCAGGCTTCGGGCCTCGTTGATACCGTTCCTCTCTCTCCTCTTCAGTCGCATCGAGGACATTCTCAATCTCCAGCATTTTGCAAAACGCTGCGGTATGAGGGTTCGTGTACTCCCGCGGCATCTCACCGGTCCGCTCGCCCATCTCTGGATCATAAACCGGTGCAGTGATGCTGAAGTCCTCCGGAATATATATCTTTGTGTCACCGACGTGCTCGCTCACCCATCGTCGATTTTCGTCGATGCGTTCGTAGTATGTCGTGCTGCCCAAGAAAGGTGGGACTTCGGCACCTTCGCCGATCGTAGTCTCGGAGGCCATGGCCTTGACAATGGAAAGCCATTCTGGATCGTACTCGAGTCGAGGCTTTTCATCGGCAATGTCCTCGCTCGTTGGAATCTCCAGGAGCTGCAGAAAATGTCGACCAGGCAAACACTTGTCGAGAGCAAGGAAATGCGTGGCGCGATTCGAGATCTCCGGTGGAGGAGGCGACCATGCCCTCGATTTCTCTTGTTGTTCCTCTTGCGGTTTCTTCTGGAAGGCCTCAGGAAGCTCGGCCCGAACGGAATCTGGAACAAGATCGGGATCGTTGGTGGTAGTTGGATCTTTGGGGACATCAGGCTTCGGCGCCGCGTCCTCATCGTCCATGTCCAGGTCGATCTCATCGGGGTTACCGCTAGTGGCTTTATTGTCCTCGTCTCCAAGATCTAGGTTGATCTCATCCGCGTTTTTTACCGGCGCAGTCGCAGGACCCGCCTTCGCCTCATGGCTCTGTCCCTTGCTGCTCCACCGGCTTCCCAGCGACGCCACGCCAGGTTGATGCTTGACGATCGCGGCGAACTTGATATGCATATGCGCACTGAACCAGTATTTCGGCCGGATTCGATCGAGCACCTTCTCCGCCGCCACGCTCCCCAGCGTGCCATCCCTCGCCTCCTGTTCAAACTGGCTCTTCTTCCTAAACAATTGCGCCCAGTCGCCGTGCCATTCCACCCCGCGGGGCCAATCATGACTAATGCCAACATCCACAGGCTCCCGTATCCTCAGCAGCTTCCGGACATCCACTTCCCGCACATGGTAAATACTCCGCATTTCGCCGTCGTTATACGGCAGCCGTTCGATATGCGGCTTGTTGTAGCTATACCCTTTCCAGATCCCCGACAACCCCGCGATGCGGACGCCGGCGAGCTTGACCACGTTCACGTTCCCCATGAAGTAGATATTTGGTGCCACCCAGCCGCCGTAGAAGAGCTCCTGAAGGTAGTTGCTCACTTCATGGTTGCCGCCGATGAAGATGGTGAGGTAGGGTGCGGTTCGCTCGCCACAGTAGTAGCGGTGGAAGTCGGCCATGGTGCGGTATTTCGGGGGCATTGCCATGGTATTCATGTCGGCGGCGTTGCGAGCGGCCTGCATGCGTCAGAATTGGTATCTTGCTTCGAGTGGGGGTGTTCAATGCCATACTTGGAAATCCCCTCCAATAATCAACAGATCTATCCCATCCCACCCTTTCGCCTCGCAGGCTTTCTCCGTAGAAGCGTAGATGGCATCGAGTGTTCCATGGCCCTGAGAACAGTCAGTACATGTCCCTGTGGCCAGAAAACGGGAGTCGTACGCAGCCTTCGTATGCTACTCGGAGCGCCTTTCGCGGTTCGTCCATGCTTGTAACGGTCGATCTCTTAGATCAATTTTAGTTCTGATCCAGGCATTCTCGGAGCGGATCCGGCACACAACTGAAAAAGAGGAAAATCAGAGCACTTGAGCAATCACACACGCTAGGAAACTTTAGGAATTCCGTACGTATATTCGGAACTCTTCTCTTGACCGGAACTTTTGTGTGACGTCTTCAGTGGTGCCAAATGAGGGAGCATATTACGGCCTTGCGGCCTTAATGCCTGGCAAATGAAGCAGAAGCAGAAGCTGAAGCAGAAGCAAACATGAAGCTGATGCTGATGCAGAATCCTCCAAGTAGATGGCAGCTTGGCAAGCTGTCACCCTATCACGTAACACGTTATCGCCTTGATTACGTAAGGCCAATCGATCCTCGACATCAAAATGGACGTGGGCTGAAGTGCAAAGTGTGATGCGGAGTTCTCCGTACTTCTATTACCTTTAGGTGTACAAGGGAAGGAGAGGAGTGCTTGATTGATTTTCTGAATGAAAAGTCTCTTCAGATAACATATAGCTGATTTCCTAGGCCAGAGGTTCGGCCCCCTGATATTTGAACTATCCCCATGCCAAACGGAAACATCTGAGGACTTTTATTGTTATCATGCTCCAGAGGGCAATGTACGCCCTCCCAGAATCACAGCGGAAACTAGATTAGCCTGTTCGCCGCCTAATCATCAGGGCGGACTTTAACATCCAACCAGGGGTCGTGGACCAACTCTTTCGCGGTCGGTCTAGCATCCGGGTCCCAGCAGAGCATCCTCCTTATGAAGCGTAAGAAGCGGGTTTTATCTTCATCTAGAATGCATTTCGGGACCTCATCTACCCATACGCGCTGAGAAGGGATTAGACTATCGTGGAGGAACTCGCCTGCTAAAGTGAGTAAATGGTTTGGGAGGGGCAGTGCTATGGCTCAACATACCATCGCTAGAGTAAAAGGGTCCGCCGAAAAATTCTGCTACATTCTTGCAAAGCTTACCCTCGGGATTTTGGATTTCCTCATGCCATCTCCAACGCCGTAGGGACCTCGCCCGTTGAATCAGTGACTCGGGTGCGGGCCCGAGGAGAGCGATCATCTCGGCCAAGTGATGAGCAGCGCTATAAGATATCCCAGTCCTCTTGGGATCCAGGAACAGTTCTGTGCCCGCAAGAAGGTCCCATACCTATGTCTATTAGCGAAGCATAGCGGACGGTCATCGGTTCAGGCTTACTATGATCCCGAAATTCCATATATCCGCGCTGTATGACCACCCAGCACCAAGAAGAACCTCAGGGGCACGGCAATGGTTTGGCTGTATAGGGAAAATCAATCGTCCCGGCTGGTCTCCTCGTTGTGCAACGCCAAAATCTGCCAGTTTTGGCATCATATTTCTGACACCTGATGGCCACTTGATGTCTCCAAAATTTCTCTGGGAGCGATACACGGTATGATCAGTAAAGACCTTTCGGGCCATCGGATTCTCGGTTTGAGCCTGGATGAAACGGTCAATGGCTGGCCTGTCCTCAAAGGTCATTAAGATATTGTCCAGTTTCAGATCTTTTGGACTTAGTTAGCTGGACTCATGGAAGAGGAACGAGGAGGTTACCCGTATGGATGAGTTTGCATTCCGAGTGCAGATAGTCAAGACCACTTAAGACTATGCGAAGATATGTTTTGAAAAGCGGTACAATGCTTGGTGTGAGCTCGTTGCCTTTGCTGAACCCTCTTTTGAAAAGCCAAATCGACTCCCTCATCGGTTCAAAAACAAGACAAACGTGCGATCCGTTTGCGGTATCAATGGTAAAATGGTCGTCTGCGACCAGTAAAGCGGAGCGTCCCTCGTGATGTGGATTAGTACGAGCGATACGAGTAGAGATATCAAGCTCGTGGTGTGCATCTTCGTCTTCAACGTTGTTCGTACTGATTTTGATGGCAACAGATTCGGGCCCTGTTGTCCGATTACAACTGCCGACCAGTCAGTCATCATATCGTAGGCCAATGGGTCGAAAGGTCCCTGACAAGCCGATGTCTTGTGCCAACCAAACAGTGGATGAAGTTCCCCATCCAAGCTTAACCTTGAGCTTATACCGTTTGTTCAATACGTCACCCGGGTTTGGATGATAGTAATCCTTCCATTTATAGAAGGGCAGACGCTCCTCTTCTATAGGAACCTCTAAGGAAAGGGATTTTGCGACAGAAGATTGAGGACGAGTGACCCGAATAGGAAATTTGAGTCGGGACTGCCTGAACGGTCTGAAAGGCATCTGGACGTGCTGGCGCTGAAACGATGACTAGGGAGCAGTACAAATTCTCTTACTTCTAGATTTCTTAATCGAGGCGAGGCCGGCACTACCTGCTCGAAGCCGGGGAAGATAGTGATATGTGATTCTTGAGTTCGCAGACCAGTTCACTGCTGCCCGCCCTGGCCTAGACCGAATGACGTGTGATACCATAGTTGACACTGCCTTGCCAAGACTGATGATAAGTGTTAAACCTCATCATCGCGTGCGCTTACTCGTGAACCCCGAAACTAGCTTCTTCAGCTGTAGATGTTAGGTATTGACGTCGTTAAGGAGCTGAGGGATCCAGTTATCGTGGCTGACTCGAGGAAAATTGGTGGAGCGGTGCAAGCATCGAGATTCCATGAGTCATTCATCCTCCAAAAGCACATCAATCATCAACCGTCGATTCACAAAATATAAACCATTTCTATGATAATCAGATCCGATAAGATTTGAACTTTTGGAGCCTGGAAGTATGCTTCAGGGCCATTAATCTCGTCCATTGGAGATGGTCTAAATATACTAGGGTCCGGATGCATTATGGATACCCCTGACAGGACCACATCTGGCTGTCCACTAGTTTATCTACAGCTTATGGCGATAAGATGTAGAATAATTATGCTATCTAACTACTACCGGCATACAAACCGCCTTGGAGAGGAGTTGATACCGGCTCAGCCAAGAACGCACAGTGTCCCACCCTCTCTATATTATCGGAGACCACTTCCCACTGCACTGGTTCTATTGCCGTGCTGCTCCCCAAGTCATCATCGCCTTTCACATCGCCAGTAGCATCCCTCCTCGCCATATGGCAGGCTGCCGCAATTGCAAGACTACAACTTCCCGCGACCGGCATCCCAGTGGCAGGCATCCTCCTGCTCCCAACATACAGGGCAACAAAAATCAAGAGACCCCCAGCAATGATAGACAATGAAATCGCCAGCGGTGAGTATCCGCACGTCACGAGATCTGAACGTTCAAGATGAATTCGGCCTTCATTGACCCTGCTAGATGACCCCGACATGGTACCGAGCTCGATACCGTAGTGCTCGACGGAGACGAGGAATAGACTCTGCGAGATAAGCCAATGTAGTAGACCGCTGGCCACCATCAAGGGTAGAGAATAGCGATATGGCAACTGCAAGAAGTACCTGCTTCTTTGTGCCCCTTGGCCCTTGCTACTCACTCGCAGGCCTTTCCTGTCTGTAGAGTAACTAACCCATTCCGCTGCCATCGCGACGGACGTCATCAATCCGTTACAAGTAAAGTAGATAAAAGAAAATATGGGTTGAGGGGAGTTGGCGACCATGATATTTCCGATAAGGCCAGCGACCGCTGCAGAAGGGATGTCCCAGCCTGTGATTAAGGTTGAGGGGGATATAGCACCGAGCCCGAGCGAGAAGATGAAGGAGGGAGTATGAGGGCCGTGGAGCTGCTTGATGCCCAGTCCAAGAAGACTGGCGCAGACGATAAGGGCAAAGGTGCATCTAAATCAGCATTAGCATGTAATGTCTAGAAACGAGGTCATCAGTGTCTTCCACTCACATTCCAATAGTAAACGCCCACCGGCTTATACTTGCACCTTTGACATATGGCTCCCACTTCAGCCTCGCCATCCTCGGCTCGGTAGAAAGTCCTACGCGACCAGGCTTGATAATCTCGTGTTTGCTCAACAAACACATGCCCTCCGTAGTGATATCCGGCTTCTGCAAAAACGACGCAACCGCATCTCCAATAGTCATCAGCGGCGACTCTCTAACCCCGTACGCCAACGCTAGCAACAGCACCGATTTCACAAAGTTCAGCACAATCACTAGGATCGCGATCTGCAAGCTGAACTGCAACTTGCACCGCTCTTCCACCGGTTCCGCAAGGCAATACAGCACGTTGGACCCTTTATGAGCGGGTCCCACGTGTCCGGGCTGTCCTTGACCTTTCCTATCAAGTCCTGGCATGGATTCTCGCAAGGATCCGAATTAGAATCGCGAACGGATCCAGAGCAGATCCACGAATATTCATCCGGGACGCAGTTCTTCGCGAAACTGACGCGCATAGAGACGGGCTCGACTTCCCGCCCATGGGTGACTGTTGACTCGGTGGAGTTCAATGCGCCTTCGGGGTGGGATTCGATAAGGACGACGTTTTGGTGCGCGGTCTGGAATTGCTGGGCATATGCATTTATGCAGGCCAGAGGATCCAGTCGTTCAAGGCTGCCGTCAATCACCTTTTGACGGAGGGTGTCAACTAGGGGTACCAAACGGCGGTCTCGGTTCGGGAGACGATTGTTGACTGCACCGGATTCGGGGTCTGCAAAGGCTTCATTGGCAAAGAAGACTACATACTTGTTGGCAGAGATGGAAGGGAATACGGTGGAATTGTAGAACAAATGTAGTGGTAGGCTGGAGAATCCTAGTAGTATCCACATCCACCTCCTCGTCCACCTTATTTTTATCAGATTCCGCACATTTGGCACCCCGATATCCAGCCACTTCTCTCGTTGATGCTCTCTATCCACCTCCCGTCTCGTCGGCGCGGACAGACACTGCATCGCAAAATTACTTGTGCTCAGCAGCACAGTCGACAGGAAGTTGATGATTAAATGAGTGACGGTATTTATCGGCCGGATATCCGTGCAGGACCCCTCATAGAGGATATACCTGCCGGCATTGACGTCAGAGAACTTCGAGCGAGAGTAGATGGCCCAAACGGTCAGGATGAGATTGCTGAGGAAAACCGCAGAGGTTGCGAAAAACCCGGTCAGGACAGTAAAGCGCCAACCGGTGAGACGAGCAGGACGCCATCGTGAACGACGAGACAGCGGCCGGATAGGATTGTCGGGTGCAAGAGAAGGAGCATATGCAGTTGAAGCATTATCATGAGAGAGGAGAGAAAGCTCTGTCGTATGAAGTCGTGGACGCCGCTCGTGGGACCAAAAACATGACTCCTTCTTAACTCCTCTAACTCCAATAAAATAGGCTGGACAGATGTAGCCTGTGAATGGCGGTCCTTCTAAACCTCTTCCTAGCTCTTTCTTTCAAGTTGAGGGAGCGTCCTGATACACGAATCCGCGAGGCTCAAAAAGGCCGGCGAGAGCTGACGAATTCAACGAACCTGAGGTATCGAAGGCAACCGTCTCCTGAATAGCATTCCTTAACTTGGAGGAACGTGTTTGCGCTCAAGCACGAGTACTCTTATTGATGAAAGATACTGTAGCAACAGACCTAGTTGTCGAATGGAAACAGTGGCATCGCAACGATACGGCGGTCTGCTATTTTTTTTTAAAACGAGCAGAGTTCATCATTTCCAATGCCATAAATTGGATGCGAAACATTAGGGATGGGGCTGAAACATGGAATCGCCTCGACACTTTGCAATGCATTGATGCAATTGAAGGATCATGAATGAATAGGATATCTGGGCTGGTGTGGCATAGCCTTGCGAAAAAGTTGGGGATGATGAGGATCGCCTACTCCCCAACTCATCAACCACGCATAGATGATGATCCTGTGGCTTAAATTCCTTTGGTATATTCCGACCAGCAACTCCTTCGCTTTTTTTTTTTTAGTTTTGAAGTCCTTGAGGGTCGGGAGTTGGGACGAGCATTTCCCTTCCAATTGTGCTATTTGTGATTTGACAATCTGGATTCATGATTACAATGCATTTGTTGCAGGTAGGTAGTACTATATACTTAGTACTTAAGTCTTCACGTACCGATGTTTTAGACGCCTATCGTTGAGACTTGAAGGTTGAAACAGCCGTTAGAAGGCTTCAACGGATCGAGGATAGGACATTAGACTGATCTTTGCTTCGTCATCGATTCTTCTGTGTTAAACCTTGCGTTAGCCAGAGACTTTGCCCCTATTCTTTTTGCGATGATGTCTCTAAAATATACCCGTAGCATTCTCCTCGGTCTCGGTTGCTTCCGTAGAATAGCAAAGTTCGAGACCGTCGTAGCATGCTAAGAGGATTTCAAATGATAAGCCAGGACGGATCTGCGAACCTTCACTTGTACCGGATATATCAGCTGATGTTAGAGCGACTAGAAAGATAGATCAGCCATCGACCGCAAGCGTTCCCTGTTTCGCTCCGGCAGAGACTCAATTCATGAGGAATTCCGCAAGGCCGATGCCTCCAGCGCCGCAGTAGACATCACACATGGCGCAATATGTTCCGTACCGGTGAACAACAGTCCTTCAACCCCAATGGGTGGGTTCATCCGGTCCTCATCATGGTGTCAAGGTGAGCAGATTTGCTGCATTTTCTTCGGAGCTGGGGGCTGAGACATCCTCAACTGTGTCAATACTGCCTGGATTATGCGTTCCTATAGCAATAAAGATATAACCCCGAAGTATTCGGTTCATGATTTCCATAAGTTGATGGACGAGTGGTGAAAAGGGGCGGACGCTCGAAACGGAACTGTGACGCTCGCGTTTCAGGTGCCGGAGGGATGGAGGAAAGCGAGCTGACAGTATTGGGGATGTTGGATAAACATTGTACTACAGGATCGGACGTGTTTGATATTCGGGATTTCGCGTGAAGGTAGTCGAACTCTAAATATAAGCGCAAGGTGTCGTTGTCGGACTCCGAATATGAATTGGTCCAACATGCCCTTGCGGCTGATGGAGTCGCAGAACTGCAGCATGCTTCAGCGGTCGAAGGGATACGGAATACTTCCCCAAAAAATCGGGACACACAAGTGAGCTTTTTGACCCATCTCAACAGCAGCTCAGCAAGCATACTTTGGAAATTTACAGATCACGCTTCTCTGTCTTACCTGTACTTTCAACCGCTTTTAACAGCCGCAGTGGATACTGATTGGTGATGTGAGCAGTGGGATCAGAGATGCCCGAGTCAGAAACACCCCAGCTCTGCTTCCTTCGGTCCCTCAATAGTGGCTGGGGATTAGGGAACCAATCTGTCGGGCGGGAGGATAGGCCTGGCGACGATTCCCTCCTCCTCTGACCCGCCGCTCCAAACGCGTCCCCCGCCACCAGTCCGCGTGCGACATGCGTGATGCTCTCCCGCTCTCTTGCGGCTGCCGGACTGCAGCATCATCGTCTGGTGCTGGCGTGCTGCCAACCCCCAACAGAGAAACCAACTCCAGCCCCAGCCAGGCCACTGCGAAGGATCGCAGTGATCCTGAAGACCTGAACGCCAAGCCCAGAGCACCCAGCGTCGCATCTAGCACGTTGGTGGCAGCCAGGGGTGACGCGACCGCGTCAGGGCGACTCGAGGGCCTAGGGGAACCTAGCCAATGGGCGGCAGAGCCGCAAGGTCGGGCGTAGGGGGGGGTCCTGAGCCAATGGTTAAGCTTGGGTTAGCTTCAGGTACGAAAACAAGGGATTTGTGAGATCCTGATCAGGGATGGGTTCCAGCGGAAAAAAAGTGTTCAGGGCTGCTCGGTACTGGGTGATATCGGCGATGAACAGTGAAGTAACACGGCGGGATTCTCTGGGTTTGGTATTTTTACTCGGAGGGAGGTCGTTGGATAGATACACAATAGCGGAACCAACGAAGATGGTGAGGTAAGGGGAGAATTTCGCGTTCGTATGGTTGGGCGTGTTGTGGGTAGTGAGGAAGGCACGTAGGATGAACCAATGATAGAGCCGCAAATAGGGGGAAACGTGGCAGCCTCCGAGTTGGCAGTGTCCTTGACGGTGACCGTTCGGCGCTCACTTTTGTCGTGGCCTCCTTGAGTCTCCGATATCACCCTACGAATTATGACCCTACCACTCGCGTCTTACACGATCAGTGATCTGATGATAGCTGTCGGCTGTCGCATGTCACTGTTGTGCGTTGTCCATTGAAGCTTGGTCCGAGGCAACTCGCAACATCAAGGGCAATGCATTAGAATAACCGCGTCTCGGTGATCAATTTTCCTGCCGCATTGACACACGGGAGAAGAAAAAAAAATTGATTCGTTTTAAATGCTGGAAATTGGAAGGTGGTAAAGGCTGGTAAGAATGCACTGTATGACACGACCTCGCCATCTTGGTGATCTCCGGTCTCCAGGGAATCTGTTAGGCCCTGTTCGATGTTGGATCGTCCCTGAAATTGCGCCTCGAGTTTATTTATCACTTGTGAATTGGTGATGATGTGAACACTAAACACGCGGGAAACGACCGCGATGAGCACGAACCAGGATGCGCCTAATTTTCTCATTTTCTGGCACCGACGGGAAATGACGAATTGCAGGTACGGACCGCGCCCAACGGGTTTTGGAGGTTGCACCATGATACTGCCCTCTTGATGATCCCTACTAGAAACACATTATGCTTGTTCGACCGATGGGCTATTGAAAGCGGTGAATCCAGAATAATGCTTTGCTGTGTTGTCTCCCGAAGCTGCAGTAATTAGAGAATTTCCCAAAAATCGTGCCCAATAGTTGGCGACTTCCCATCAGAATCGTTCGCGATAGGCTCGTTGATGCGGATAAATGCCTGGTACATCTGCAGTCCTGCACTCAAATCTGCACCCAATGTTAGTTTCGACCGGCAAAAGCAAGCGGGTCACGTTATGGGGCCCAGTAAGATTACGATACTGGTGGACATAACTCGGTTTATGTGCCAAAAGGGGCTATCTGCCGCAGGCTCTGGAGAATCATAGATGACAGTGACGGGGACAAGCAGCATGTCTCGAAATAAGAACCAATAATCGCGTACTAAAGATGCCAAAAAAGTAAACAAAGCCCAGCACGAGCAGATTCGGGGCAGGCGGCAGTGTTAGTATTACGGAGCACCAAACTTTGAGTGGCCGAAGTGATGGTCCGTGTCTCCCGGCCTGATGCTGCAAGGAGGGAGGAGAGAGGTCGAGAGGATGGCTTGCGGCCGGAAGAGCGGATAGGGCCGTCTCTCCAGTTAGTTCATCACCCCCTATTTTCCCAATGCCCATCCCCGACATGGGCTGGACCACCGACCAGATCGACATTCTCCTGGCGAAGTTACCGAATAATCTTCGGCACCCGCAGCAATCCTTTACGGTGTACATGTACTACAAGCGACAATAAATATCTTAATAATATTGGCGAATGAAATCGTCAGAGTCACTGGAATTATGATTTATGAGTTGGATATACGCATACGTCGGTTGGTCGTTCCTTCCTTCAAAATCCGCCTGTCGGTCCCTCACTTCCTGATTTGGACCCTCATATCAGGCTGATATAAGGCATGTTAGGCAGCTTAGGCATCACACCAACTTCAACTTCCACCTTCGAAGAGATTCCTCCTCCACTTCATTCTCTCCACTCCTCCCGCAAATCCTACCCAATATCGCCCTCCTAATTAAGTCCTATCTGATGCTAAACAACAATATCCCCGCCGCCAGCGAGTAGCGCTCGCAGTAGTCAGCACCTTGGAGTTAGAGTGTTGGGGGAACACCTCCAGTTCCTCAGCCTCTCCACTCAGTTAGTTCACTGTGACCCCGGTCATCCCATCCCCTTCAGGTCCCACGCCGCCCCTGTCTTTCCAGAAGCTCCGCAAAACCGCAATATTACTTTCTAAAACGCCGCAATCTCTTTTCTTTTCAAGCGTTCTCCTTTTCCCAAAAATTAAGGGACGATTCCAAGTCCCGCCAAAAGTTCCTCCACACTCTCTGGCTCGTCCCTCATGCAACGGCAATCCAGGGAAGACGCGGTCAGTGCACCCAGCCTATCTCAAACCCTCAAACCTACCCGAAATTGTGCGGGAATGATTCATGCCCACCGCCCACCTGCGAAGTGAACTGGAGACGTGAGCCTCTTTGGGTTTGGCAAATGCACCTCCGGTTTTTCATCCAATCTCTCCTTGGTCCATTCTCAAAGAAACCCGACTCGGACGGCCAAAGGGAAGTTCGATGAGCTGGCTGCTGTCTCACTACTGGGTACGTACCTTATGCGACCCTTTCACACCGGTCCTATTGTCCATCGTCAATCGTCAATAGTGACCTGACCGTCGCTCGACTCCCGTCAATCACGCTGCTCTTCTTTCCGTTTAAGATTCCCAAGACCGACGATCGACTTGCATCTTTTCAGTTTTAACACCCTATTCAGAAACGAAAAGGCTTAAATCTGTTGAGATCACGCTTGCGATCCAACGCACGTTCCTAGGAGCTATCACAACCGTTCCAAGCCACTCCCTCCTTACCATGGACCGGAAGCCATCCGCGACGTTCGTTTGATGACTTTATTCGATATCCTTGGACGGTCCTTGTCGCTCTAAATCCGCATGCCCCATCGCTGAACGCCTCTGTCTCTGTGCTTCCTGACCCGTTCCGTGGTCCTGGACCAGAATCTCCACGCCAGTCGCCAGGTCACTCCTCGCCTGGATCATCGGTTCACCACTTCACCAATACCTTTGCTCTTGCTCATCAGCCATCACCGTCAGGCCGTCACTCCTTTTACTATTTGCTTTAAGCGTCCGGTTAGCCAGCTTGGACCCTGTTCGCTCCGTCGTTCTGGTTCTCTAATCGGCATTGACACCTTGTGGACCGTTGACACTTTGAGCTTCGAAGGAAGACGATCAACTCCTCAAGGACCTCCCTCCTTCCGAAACTTCTCCTTTGTCACACTTCTTAGTTGCTGGCCATGGGATATACTCGATAAGCAAGCAGCTTCGCGAAGGTCTCTGGAACTCGTCACGCTCCCACAAGCTGAGAGCTATCGTCTTTCGGACCTCCAGTCGCCCTAACTATACTCGACATATCCCTAACATCATCCAAGATGACGGTCGCATACGACGCGTCATATCGGAGCTACGCGCAACCCAGCGGCGCTGTGTGCCTGGACGACAAGTTCGAAGTCATCAAAGATATCGGAGATGGCAGTTTCGGAAGCGTTGCAGTTGCTCGAGTGCGGAGCGCTGGCGCCCACATCGCTCGACGGAACACTATGGTATATATGGTATTCGATCGTTACAAGATCGTGTTCTAATACAATACAGGTGGCCATCAAGACGATGAAGAAGACATTCGATAGTTTCAATCAGTGTTTGGATCTTCGAGAGGTCATTTTCCTCAAAACTCTCCCGAACCACCCTCACTTGGTCCCTGCCCTCGACATCTTTCTCGATCCGTTGACGAAGAAGCTTCATATCGCGATGGAGTACATGGATGGGAATCTCTACCAGCTGATGAAATCCCGGGATCATAAGCAGTTAGATCCTGCAAGCGTCAAGAGCGTCCTGTTCCAAATCATCTCCGGTTTGGAGCACATCCACGATCACCATTTCTTCCACCGTGACATCAAACCCGAGAATATTCTCGTGTCGACATCATCCCCTCAAGATTCTGGCAGCGCGTTCAAGCGGTATTCTGCCCTCGTCACTCCTCCTTCAACTCCTCCTGCGTACACCATCAAAATCGCCGACTTTGGACTGGCCCGCGAAACTCATTCAAAACTTGCCTACACTACATACGTCTCAACAAGATGGTACCGAGCACCTGAAGTGTTACTACGAGCCGGACAATATTCTGCACCCGTAGACATCTGGGCAATCGGTGCGATGGCGGTGGAAATTGCGACGCTGAAGCCCTTGTTTCCAGGAAGCAATGAGGTCGACCAAGTCTGGCGGGTGTGCGAGATTATGGGTAGCCCTGGAGCCTGGGTCAACAAGCAAGGAGTGCGCGTTGGTGGTGGTGAGTGGAAGGAAGGAGTCAAGCTCGCACAGAAATTGGGCTTCCAGTTCCCAAAGGTTCGTTTTCGTCCATGTGGGTGTCACAATTCACACTGACGCCTTTGTAGATGGCCCCCCATTCATTAGAATCGATTCTGCAACCTCCGCAGTGGCCCTCAAGTCTTGCCGAGTTTGTGACCTGGTGCTTGATGTGGGATCCGAAAGCTCGTCCCACGTCACGTCAAGCTCTGGAACACGAATATTTCCAAGATGCGATCGATCCGTTGCGACCAAAAACATCGTCATCATCGAAATTGCTTGGCCGTAAGCACGCCGACACGTCCTCGACAAACCTAAAGGACACCGTACCAGGGTTGTCGGCGAAGACATCTTGGTTCCGGAAATCCTATGTTGCACGAGAAAGTGCACCGACGGTACCACAACCATCCGTCATGTCACAAACGGCATCGCCGAGGCCGACGCCCGTTCCCGCTCAAACCACTCCGGATGTGGAATTTGTAACGACGCAGCCGCCAGCAGCCCCTCAAGTGAAAGCAGCAGGAGTTAACTCCAAACGAGCAACATGGGCAAACGGACTGCCGTCTCACGCCGCCCCAATCCCGATCCTCCCGTCCATTCGACCAATATCGCCTCTGTCAAACGCCGTCACTGCTCAGGCAAAAAATGCCCGTACACATCAAGCCCAGCAATCCAAACAGAAGATCGGAAGACAATTGTCGGTTGCTTCGCAAACGAACCACTATGCCGACATTCACCGGCAAGAGGCGGAACGCGCGCTCAATGGCCAACGCGGCGGAGTCGCATCGCCAGCCTCGACCCATAGAGAAGGATTCTTCTCACATCTGCGAAAACGAGCTCGACGGCTCTCTGGGAAGCACCAGGCGCCCCCGTCTCCGAACTCGGATGACATCGAAGCCAATGCCGGCTGCGCTCCTTGGTCCAACATGGCTAGCAATCGAGGCTCGATGATCGTGGACTCGAGCAACGCCGCCGTTCAGCCGCAAGCCAATTTCACCGAGCTTGATAAAGCCCTGCAGAATGTTCGGTCGAGCATGGACCAATCGACACCGACCGCTCAAAAGCATCGACTTTCCGCCGCCTCACTTCTAAAGCGACACAACTCTAATCACACTGGCTCACTCCATACCCCGGACGGCGCGGATGGGACCCCTCCTAATGCAAGAGCTCGCCGGCCACCACAACGTCAGGTTTCTAAACACGTCCCAGGCAATGGCCGGTATGAGACCCCCAACGAAGAAGAAGAACTGTTAGACGAGGCGCTACTATCAGCACACACCGCTGCCTCTCGAATGCAAATCTCCTCACCCGCGCCCGTGGCGCCGACCCCACCACCAGCTGCCTACACCTCCTTCAACCCACACTCAATGCTCAACTCCCCCAACCTCACGCCCAACCCTCACAACCCCGTCCATCGCGTCCCTGCCCCCCTCCAGCATCAATCCTCCGTCCGCGTAGTCCCCTCCAACGCCCCCTCCCACCAGACACCGACCTACCACCCACCGAGCAACAACTACTCGTACCTCACCCCCTCGCCCTCCGCAAACGGTCCCTCCGGTCCGCGAAACATGGGCCTGAACCTCCCCCAGGGCCGAAACGCGTCAAGCAAACCCGTCGACATCGTCCAACCGCAGCGCAAGGTCGACTTGAATCCGAAATGGCCGACGCCGCCATACGATGATGATGACGGCTTTGCGGCCACGGCGGCGGCGAGTCTGTTCAATGGGCCGATGTGGCGGTAGCGGATCGAAGGTTCGAGCAGCACGAGGTTCTCGATGCATCTGGGCGGGCGGACTCCATTCCTTCCGATATCCGAGGCGTTGGGCATCAAAATTCCTTGGGGGACAGATTTACGGGCTACATTTTCGGGGGGTAACCCACCAAAGTGGCCGGAACGGCCATTCACCGCGTCTCAATTTTCGCAACTTTTCCTTTGTTTGTCACCATATACTTACCCATATTTTCCCGTTCTTCTAGATCAGATACCTTTCGTGCATCGAGCGGATCGCATTAGACTGCAGCATTCTACTCTTCATACTCCTTTTTCCCTGCGATCCTCATCCCGCATTTAGAGGGGTTCGATTCGTTTTCTCCGCGTCGTTTTCAAGCGGGCGATGGGCGCGCAATCGCGTTTTTCTTTCCTTTCACGGACCGTTCACGGATTCCGAAATATCGATATTTGGTTGACGCAGCGAGCGTTACCTACTTACCTTACTTTGCATCTGCATGGAGCACATCGGTTTCGTTTCCGGGTCGTCTTATTCTCAAGGCGCCCGAGTTGTTGATAGAGCGGATTTCTTTTTTACTTCGACCGACATATTTTGACGGATCGGTTGGCGTTGCGACGTCCTCGCCTCCGTCGTTCACTCACTCCATTTTTTTTCCTTTCCTTCCTCATCACTCGCTGAACCGGAACGGAGAGCGGTCTTCATATGTACTGTACGTTATTCGCCTCCTGCGCACTGGGAAGATGGGCGTTTCGTGTGCTTCATGGCGTTAAAGATGGTCTGGCGCGGCTGCGTGGCCGAAATTCGCTCGTTCGGTGGTTCATATTGTGTACTTCTATCCAAGCAGGGTGAGTGGCTCTTTTGCGGCGGCGGGAATTGAGTGGTGGAAGTGGAATGAACAGAGATCAGTGGAGGAAAACCTGTAATAATACGATACCTTAATGGAAGTGGTGAATACTTGAAACGTCGGGTGCAATGATGTGTGATATTTCTTTTCCTTATTAACATCGCGTTTCCCGGACAAAAGGCGCCCCCGACATGTTGCTTAGAGGAGAAGGTATACTAGAGCCGCGGCCTCCTGATTGTTGGACAATTGTTCTACATGCGGTGACGCTATTTAACCTGTATCTAAAGGGGTATTTTGAACTATGAAACCCAGAGACCGTATATCGTGAAAATAAACCCTCTCAAATCTCAATCCAATCCCTGCTAGAAACCGGCATCTTCCAACAAATTGTACATATTCCACACAACCAACTCTTGCCGTCAA